ACTCTTGGTTATGGAGCACCACCCAGAGGGCAGAGTGGAGGGATGCAGAAGTGAGATGATCAGATACGTAAAAATAGCAAAGATCCTACAGCAGATCTTACATAACCACCAGCAGGTACCGGATTGTTATTTAACAGATGTCGTCAAGAGAAAAAAGGGCATTTCTTTGTCGAGAGAGGATGTTTATCGGCACAGAGGACCTTGCATGCAAGAAAACGTGTCTATTTTGTTAATAATTTAGCACCTCTTATTTACTTAAACAAATTACAACGCCAAAATTTCATTTTGAGGTTACTGCATTTTGATACCATCTTAAAGTAAACCTTGACTTTTCAATACCTGTATTTGGTTTCAGCAGTATAGTACAAAGCACCAATTCTGAAACTGCTTCTAAATAGCACTTATTTTTGTATCAGTTACAGAAAAACTTGGATTTCATTTCAGGAACAATGAGTATCCTTGTGTCTCACCTGGCTGCATAAGGAGAGGCCCAAGATTAGCAGAAAGCACATACAAAAATGGATGATAAATAGTCAAAAATGTAAAAAAATGCTTAACCTCCTGTAGTCTAAATCCAAAGGGATTCGGATACATGCATTCCCATATACATTTACTGGAGAGGAAAGGTACAGCCCAGGTACAACCCAGCACATCTGCATGGTTCCAATCTCAACTTTCTGATTTGCAGCTGTGCTGTATTTCTGTCCAGTAGTGGAAAACCTCACCAGGCATGTCCTGACATTATGCTAGAGCTAGAAAACAGAAAGAATTTGACTCATCTAGAATGCACAATAATAAATAAAATAAGAGAGACACTCATTTGGTGTTACAAGCTGAATAAGGAGAAGATAATTTAGTATAGCAGTGAAATTAAAGCGAGGTAAATCCTGTCTACTTGCACGCCCTCTCAACTACAGCATTACAGTGAGAGGTGGCAGACACAAGCTGGAACATGAGAAGTCCAGATAAGGAAACGATTCTGGATCACAAGGATGGTCAGACTGGAAGGGGTTGGGTTGCCCAGAAGGTTGGGCAATCTTCCTTCCTTGGAGGTGTTCAGACTTGCCTGGTCAAACGTGATATTTTAGGCCTGCTCTGTGAGGATGGGGACTGCGTGACCTCTGGAGATCTCTTCCTATGAAAGCAAAATAGGGCTTTTTTGAGAGGTTTTTGCTATTTCAAATAGCAGAAAGAATGGGTGTTTGAGGTGAGAGTTGCCAGAACCAAGCTTTTCAGAGGGTTAAGTGCACTAGGTTAATCACAGTTATTTAATATTAAGAGTGGTTTTGGTAAGTTAACTGTACAACGGCACAAGTAGGAGACATTTTTCTGAGATTTTTTCCCTGCAGGTTCTCACTTGGAGTAAGATGTATATAGAGATGCTATGCTGGGGAACCAGGGTACTTATTAGCACCAAGCAATATCAGCAAGAGGGAAGGGCAGAACTGAGTCTGTGAAAGTGTGAAAAATGCACATTATGCAGGAAATTAAAATCTCCCAAACCAGCTTCATCTATAACCTATATCTGGAACCTCAACAAGATCTCTTTCACCATGATATTTGTCATGATTTTCCCCCCGTACGTGTTCAGCACTCGTTACCCACCCTTCCAGGCTTTCTACAGATCTGAATGCTTTGCGATGATCTGCCCTCCGTCTGGGAAGGGCACAGGAGGAAGAGGGAGGTGACCCTGCAACATTTGACAAGTTTGGCCATAGCAGAATGAGACTGATTTTATTTTGTGGGACAGTGTGTAGATTAAAGTTTTATCTACAGATTTCCACTCAAAATGTTTCAAAGGCATTCCTTTATTGTTATTATTACTACTAGTATTACTATTATTTAAAAAAGAGCAAGCATGGAAAGAAACTCACAGTGTAGCTTCTTTCTCAAAGCATCTCTGCTTTTGAGTACATCTGTTATTCACCAGCAAAGACCGTTGCATCAGTATGTTCCTCTCCAGCACTAAGTGCCACTGCTGCTGTTGGCATTTATATAACAAAATTCTGCTTTGGAGAAACATGAATAAGCACTAGCATCAAATCTGGCTTTTACTAGGAGATTTACTATTGCTGTTCTGCACGATGTTTCTTGGATGCAGAGGATCAAGAAAGAGATGAGTCATGGGGCTGCAGATCTGCGTGTGGCTGCAGTGCGCTGTGGCACAGAGCTCCCAGGGAATGAAAGGTGCACCTGAAGATGGGCATTACTCACCAGAAAGACAACTCCTTAAGGGGAGAGCTAAGAAGAAGCGGGAAGAGCTATTGATCACAGCGCTTTGAGCAACCCTAGGGGATCATAAAGCAACTGGGAGAATGTTAACAATATGAAGCTGTGGAGCCACAGGATCAGCAACACAGGAAGAAGGCTGGGGGTCACTGCGAGGATGGAAACCCCAGCCCTAATTGCTCTGAAGGAGCCTAGCCAAGGGAAGCTATCCAATGGCTGCACCGTACATGACTAATGAGCTGTTTGTGTTCAGCCTGGATGCAGGCTGTGGTCTGTACACTCATACTCTGCAACACATAGCTAACAAATAGCTACGTAGTTATTAATGTGCTCCTTTCTTGTTGATGCATGAATCAGCCTAGGCTTCAACAAGGGCACAGCCTTTGCATTAAGGAGCACCTCTGAGTTCTGAGCTGTAAGAGCCTGTATGTGTAAGCACCTAGGCATGCAGCAAGGCTTCCAGTACAAATGGTGTGGGAAGGACACATGCAAGGGACAGGAGCTTCATTTGGAAACATTTTCTACCCTGGCTTTCAATTTGAGAGCCCATTTCAGTTCCTGTAGGAATTTCCACTGGCTCTAGATAGGCCCTGAAAGAATAATCCTGCCTTTTTGTGGTGGTGCAGCTTATATGCTACTGCCTCCAAGCTCAAATAAAGACAAATTGTGAGGAGAAAGGTTCGGCAAGACATCAGCCAAGGGGGGCCAAAGAAACATGCCATATCCATCAAGAATATGTTAGGTAACTGTTACCACTAGAACACATGAGGACCTGGTGCTACACAATGTTTATGGTGCTGTGTTTTCTTTTTCTCCTGACACAGAATTAAATTTAGCTCAGAAAGATTGATGTGCACTTTCAAAACATATTACAATATCTACGTTCTTCTTTTGAATTCCTAGCATACATAATAAGATGAGCTTGCAATTATCAGTTCTGACGAGAGAGAAATATTACTTCTAAAGATACAGAATATCAGAAGGTTCTTTTCCCAGAAGGTAATTTGTTTCCAGAACTATTTTACACCCAAACTCCCACAGGAACAGCAGGACTAACTTCAAAGGCTCCCGTGTCATGCTGGAAGAGTTGTTACTAATGGAAAGCCCCTAGAGCTGAAGTAACAGCTTAGGAAGGTGGCTCCCTACATCTCTTTAAGTGATAACCACAAATCTGCCTTATAAAAAATTCCAAGAGCTATGATGGTAAGCAGGGATGCTTTATTTATTTATTTTGGCTATTTAAATTCTCATTAGCAGCTTGAGAGTTTTGGAGGACAAAGAAGAAAATGAAGTCTATGCCTCAGCCAGCTCATCCAAGCGCCTGCCACAAACAACTTCCACACCTGTATTAAAATGTAGGCGAGGCATGCAGAGCAGCTAGATGTCACACATCTGACTTGTTCTGGTATCCTGAAGCATCCTGAGAGCAGGCTGGGCTGCATCCTTGTGGTAACAGCAGGAAGAACTCTGAAATAGCACTCCACAGCGTCTAGTCATGCATATACACTATGAATATATGTGAAAATGAATTTATCCTTAATGTTTCAACTGCATCAATTTACTATGATTCAGCTCTTGGTATTCAAAGCATGAATATGAGTTGTCTTATTCTTTTATTTTTCAGTTATGACAGTGATTGTTACCCTGCCAAGGCTCAGGAAATTCTAACACCAAACATCAGGTATTTATGGCAGCAAAACACAATTGTATATTAAGGAATGCTGTCAATTCACTTAATATTTTAGCAAGTTACTGCTGAAGTGAAATACATTTCTGAAGCTTGGACAGGATACTTCTGGAAAAAATTACTTGTTTCCCTCAAGAATGTCTATGGAGATTGATATTGCACAGTATTTTCTTTGAAGAGAATAGGTGCAGCATCATCCATGTCTTTATTTCCTGGACACTGGGAGGAAATAATTATGATTCAGCTCCCGAAAGCACTGGCTGTGAGCTAAGACAAGTGCAGGAGCTGGGCTCAATGATCCTCGTGGATCCCCTCCAACTCAGGCTCTTCTATGATCCTATTTCTATGATGCTATTTCTCGTCTATTTCTATGATGAGAAATACCTAATCTAGCAAAGCCACTGCAGCCCAATTTCATTGTCTACCACTGTCTCTGTGGTATCTGGGGACCACACAAGAGCAGCCACACTGAAATCCTGTGAGGTGGTGACGATGACAGGCGTCACGTACTGATGGCTGTCAGTTCCCATTCACGTTAATAGAGTATGAGGGCACTGCCTGGGCATCTGGAACTGAACGTTGTCTTGAGGACCTTCGTATTTATGGTGGAATTCTCATTTATGCCATCACAAGGGTGCTCTGTGGGCGCCCCAAACCCGGCGTTCTGCCTGCAGCCCCTTTGTGTTTGTGGCACTCAGTGTGAGGTGCGCAAGGACGCTTCTGGGAGTCCAAAATCCCGCATTTTGCCTGCGTTTTCAGAGGATTAAACGGAATCTTCTTCAGAGGAAACAACTCAACGAACACAACTGAAGTTTATTTCCTGCGCGTTCAGTGCATTACACGCTGATAAAATCGAACAAAACGCTTCACCCGCCCTTTTTCTCCCAGCCGGGCCCTCCAGCAGAGCGGCCCGCGGCCCTCGCCCTGCCCCTTCCCGCCGCACAAACGCCGCTCTGCTTCGCCCTTTCCCCGCGGCGGAGCTGACACGGCTCCGTTTTCTCGCTCTTTCCACGCACGCCCGCAGGCCGCCGGGCCCACAGGCCTCCGCGCGCCCTCCCCGCGCCCCGGCCCTCCGCCGCGCGTCACCGCCCGGCCCTTCCGCCCCGCCGCTTCCCCGCTGCCCGCAGCCGCTCCGCACCGCCCTCGCGCGGCCGGCGGCGCTCCCTGCACCCAGCTCGGCGGTTGCCTTCTCCGGGCCGGGCTATCTATGGGGCGAACGGCGATGCCATGAAGCCGGCGGAGAACGGCAGCGGGGCGAACGCCGCGCGCGGGCAGCGGGGCTCCTCCATGGGCGTTCGGCCGCTGTAGGAGCGCCGAGTGCGCGGGGCGCGATCCGCCACCTCCCCTCCCCCTCGGGCCTCCTGAGGAGGATGGCGACGGCGGCCGCCCCGACCCAGCTGGAAGCCGGTGGGTAGCGCTGGCCGCGGGGGCTCCGCCGCCGTCCGCCCGCTTTGTAACCGTGTCCCCTTCTCCCGTCCCCCTCCCTGTCCCGGCGCAGAGCTCTATTACCTGATCGCCAGGTTCCTGCAGTCCGGACCCTGCAAGAAATCCGCCCAGGTGAGCGGGGCTACCGGCCGGGCCGGGCGGGAGGGGAAGGGACGGGACGGGACGGGACGGGACGGGGAGAGGAGCCGGGAAGGGAAGCAGGAGGGACGGGGCAGGACGGCGGCGGGCGGGCGGGGGGGGCACGGCGCTGCGCTGCGGGCTCCGGACTCACGTCCTTTGTGTGCGTGCTGTGTGTGTCCCCAGGTGCTGGTGGAGGAGCTGGAGGAGCACCAGGTAAGGGACGGCGCTGCCCGGCCCGGCCCGGCCCGGACCCTCCCGGCACTGCGGGGCCGCGCGGCGCTGTGCGGCCGGGGCCGTGGTGCGGCCGGGCCGGGGGGGCGCGGAGCGGAGCCGGCTGCCCTCGGCCGCCCGGGGAGGGGTCTGACCGCCGGCTCCGTCCCTCCTCCCGCTCCCTCTCTCTCTCTCTCTCCCCGTCTCCCTCCCGCAGCTGATCCCCCGGCGCCTGGACTGGCAGGGCAAGGAGCACCGCCGCAGCTTCGAGGACCTGGTGAGCCCCCTCGCGCCGGCGGCTGCCCCGCGTCCCCGTACCGCCACACTGCTCTCCCCCCGCCCCGCCCGACGGCTTCGCCCCGCCGGCCCCAGGCCGCCACCGGGCCGGGGCAACGGGGGCGCGGCGGGGCGGCGAGGCCGGGCCGGGTTGGGGGGGGAGAGGGCTGGCTAACGGCAGGGGGGTGGCGGGGACGGCCGGGGGGCTGACCGCGACGCGCTATTGTGGGGCCGGGGCGGGTTATCTGAGGGCACGTACCGGGGCCCGGCCTGGCGAATGGCGCCGCGCCTTACAAGCCGGAGCGGCGCGGGCGGCGATGTAAGGAGGCGGCTGATTGGCTCCGGCGCCGCAGAGGAACTGGTGGGGGCGGCGGGGGGCGCGGGGCTGGGAGCCCTGGGTCTGGCCCGGCCCGCGGGGCGCGGAGGGGGAGGGCGGCGAGTGCGGGCCGGGGGCGGCGGCGGCGGCGGCGGGGGGTGCGGGGCTGCGGGGCCGCCCCGTGGTGTCGGGCCTGCGGGCGCGGCCTGCGCCGGGCCCTGCTTGGGAAGCGTGGCGTTGAAAGCACAAAAAGTCTGTGAGATAGCTGCGGGGACGCTGGCGGGGGTGGGTCAGAGCCGCGTGGTGCCCACCGCTGAGGAAGGGCGGCTTTGCCTCGCGCTGGGGAACGCACGGCCGCTGAGGGCCGCAGGGAAGAGCGGCCCTGTCGTCACTGCCCGCGGATGACAGCGCTGACACTGCACCTGGCAGCCGTCGGCTTGGCTGTAGCCATACCGACACGCTGTGAGCATCCAGCTCTGCACCCGCAGAGCGCCGTGGCGGTGCGGGCTTTGGGCACAAGTGTTGTCCTGTAGCTTGCTCTGCGGTTGGTTTTCCATTGTAGCGCTACTTTAGGTGTTCAGGTGCAGGTGGGAGAGCTCCTGGTGTTGAGGTGAGACACTGGTACTTCCTGGCTTTCCCTTTCCAAAACATACAGAGAATTTAAGGTGACCGTGCTTTGTCATTCCTCTGGTGGATAATTCTAGAGCTGTTTATTGAGTGTGCAGAAATGGAGTAAGTACTGCATTCAATAAATCTCCGTGCTGTGTGCGATTTTCCAAGGGCATCTGAAATCTAACGGCAGGCCGGTTCAGGTTCAGCTTGTGCCTGCATGCAGTGAGGGGTGCTAACAGCTGCAGTGTGAAAGCTGATTTCAGACTGTTTTGCTTCATCAGTTGCATCATGTCTATGTTTTTCCACTTCATTCTGTGGGATGTGGCTAGGAAAGTGTTAAAGCCTTTTCTTCTGTGTTAGGTGCCGCTGCTGAAGATGTATATTTTTAAGACTTTCAGAAGCAGGAAGCAAATTGGAGTAAAGTGAGGCTTGGAATTAATGGGAAATTACTTCTTGGTACATAGAATTATCAAAGCCGAGTATAAGATTTTCTTCTTCACTTTTAAGCTAATCAACAATGATCCTTTTTTGTCATCTCTTTTCTAGTTTTGTTTAGCTGGTTAACATGATAAATCAGTTAGGAACAGGACCACAAACTAATCATTACAGCAAGACAGGTTGATGCTATATAGGATGAGCTGAGCTTCAATTAATCCACAGGCTGAAGCTTTTACTGTCAAGAATGTGGCAAGAAAGCCTTTTTCTCACTCTGCTTAGAGTTTGATGAATCTGGAATTTGGACCTTTGGATACATATGATTGTATATTAACCTGAACTACTTGACTTCTGTGATAGCTAGATGTCTGAATGTAATGTTTAGAACAAAGCTAGGACTGTGGAGAAGAAAAAACTCTGAACTTAATTTTAATTATCTCACCTCGTGAACAAAAAATTAATTACTGACGCTAGCAGTCAGGGATGGAGTTTTTTTTCTGCCCATTTCTCTTGTTTGACCACTGGGAAGCAGAAAGACAATCAGTTACAATCTTTGCCTTGTGTTGCAACTGCACTGGGCAGGCAGGCCTGAGATAATTGAGCAAAATGAGAGATGTGCAAACCCAGAGAAGTTAGGTTTGTTTGCTTGTTTGCCCAATATTCTGCTCCCGCAAATCTGACAAAGAATTTATTGTCCTGATTGCTGATGTTTTTCTATTCTCAGTCTCACTGCTTAGTCTAGAGCTGGTACTTTTGCAAGAATGTGTTGATGCTCTTGTGGTAGAGTGTGCTATTGCTCAGAGTTCTTTCTGAAATGATAAAGATGGAACAACCAAATCGCCTACCAGGTGGCTTTTGTCTAGTTAATGTTTACTCTCACCTCCCTCAAGCTTTCAGTCAAGATCCAGAATCTCTCTGTTGAGAGATTTCTTTCTTTCTTATTTGAACTTAGTCTTTCACTTTACATGTCAGGCACCCTCAGGCAGGAGAACAGTTGAAGATACACTAGTAAGTACTGTATCTGGTGAGCGAAACCACTCAGAGAACACGAGCATGTTCTGCATTTGTGTTCCCTTTGTGTTTCCTGCTTCTTTCCACTTTGGAGCACTTTTTATGTGCAACATGTGGCTGCCTGTCTAGATAATTGTCCAGGTGTGCTCCAGAGGTCTGCGTGCTCCAAGCGGTTTTTACTTTGCTATTGGCTGCTGGTGGTCTTGGGACATGAAACATGCTTGTAAAGGGGAGGGCCCTCAATTTCATTAGGAAGGTCTTAGGTATGTCGAACTTGCATGCAATTAGTACTTCTATTTTAAATTAACCACAGCAGCTTAACATACAGCCAGCTGCCGAGCAGACGAGTTGAGCTGAGCTGCTTTAGATTATCAGAGCTGTCTCCAGTGGGCAGTTTTTGGAAATTATGTTGTTTATTCCTGATAAAAATGACTGATCTGGTTTTCAAGAACTTTCTGAAGGACTGTCTATTCTGGCAAAGACTGTTTTGTTCTTTGTGCTGAAGTTAAGCTTAATTTTAGGAAAAACAGAACATCAGCTGTTGCTGGACGGTGTATCTGAGCGGAGAATTTGTATCTGTGGATGGCTGCACTAGTATGGAACAGCTTATGGGATTTGGCTTTGGGTTTCTGCCTCGTCCATCTGCATTGATTTAAAACTAGCTGTGAATCTGAGGTGCCGTTATTTATAGGTATTGCCAATCCCAGCATTAGCAGCAGAGACGTGGTACGGTTTTGTCACCTCAGGAAAATGTCATCTGCTGTATGATAGTTCCAACCACTCTCCCTGAGGAAATTGGGTGGATAATGGCTTTTGAATTTCTGTGTATATGCATATTGTTGACATCTTGTGAAAGTCCAGTATCTGAGCTTTCTTTTGCTGAGATTCCATATTTGAGGTCTCGAGTAATTTCCTGCTTGCTCAGCTGTCTTGGTCCTCTGGTCTCCTCTGCTGGCTTCTTGATAGAGTTGTCAATTGATTCTTATTTGATTGTTATTTTGGCAAATGAGAGCAGCATGGTGCGGCTGCCTGGAGGTTAGAAATCTGCTGCTGCTGCACAGCTGCCTGCCTGCCCCAGGACCTGGTGGGAAGGGGCATTCCAAGGCCCACGTTGTTCTCTGCCTTCCCTCCGCTGTGCGGCGTTTGCATCAGATGGAGTTGGTGCTTTGAAGCCATGTTTCTCTGGCCCTGAAGAGGTGTTTCAGAGCTATCTCGTTCCAGACCCTGGGAACACAGACACGACATTATAAGTAGTAATCACAATGAGTTGTCTGTTTGTTTGTTTGTTTCCTGTTTATTGAACTGTTCTTGGGAGGAGAAACTGTCAGCAGTAATTCCAGGGGATTTTGTTTGTTTGTTTCAGGGATCAGCAAGCTTCTTGCCTGTGTCTTAGCTGCCCAGTGAAGACTCTTTTCTTAGCAATCTGAGATTATGTTGTAATACTTCCAACATCAGGAGCATAAACAGGTTTAGGGGTATGACTTTCTCCTACCCTTACGTGACTTCAGCAATAGTTCCTTATTTGCAGCTGCTTATCTCTGTAGCAGCATATTTGCATATTAGTTCAAGCAGTTGTGATGAAGTTCACCTGCAGCTGTTTACATGGAGTTTTTAGGAAATACTGGCTTTGCTTGATTACTTGAGTTTTTAGGTCTGTAAGATCTGTAAAGTTGCTTTATTGGAAAGCGTTTCTGTGGTGCTCTGGCAGTCTCATACTCTGATATTTTCACCTGTATAGGATTGTTGCATCTAAAGGCAACAACCATTTTTATAATTTATCCCAGTATGTCTGTAGAATTGGCTCTCACTTAGCATGCCTTCAGCTCTTCTGAGTTATTTTAAAACAGTCCTTTAAAAGCTCCTTGTTTAGCATGTTTTTGGCCTGTCTTACTAGTTTCTTGCTTTTTTCCCCTAATTTTTATTTATTTTTCAAAAATAGTTTTTAATATTCTAAAGATATTTTCTAATGCACTTGGGAAGGTGATAATATGCTTACTGCTGTTCAATTTTGCTGTGTGGCAAAGAGGTGGGATGCCAAATGTGGCTGTAGCTGACGTTAAGCTTTGCCTTTTTCTGTCCTCCTTTGAATGCAAATGTGATCTGGGAGGCTTCATTTTTCTCTTTACAGCTTTACATTTTAGGGTGATTTTTAAAATCAACGTACAGCTCTCACACAGAAGTGAGAGACAGGAGCTTCATTTCAAGTTTTTCTGGGAACCTGAAAACAAAATTGCTTGTTCTGCTCCAGGTTGCAGTTTAAGCGTTTTAGTTGGAAGTTACTATGGAAAAAAATCTCCAGGAGAATTTACTTCTATTGCCGTCTGCCTGTGTAGCTGTTTGGTAATAACAATATTAATATACAGATTAGGGGCCACTTAGGCTGCTGTGGTTTGTAGAAACGTGTAAATGACAGGGGAAGGAGAGCCACGCAGCCTTTCTTCTTTAGTGTGGTATGGTTCTGATTGCAGGTGGCAGAGCTGATGGGCAGGGCGTGTTAATAAAGGGAACGATCGCTTTGATACGCGCCCAGTCTGTGCAATATGCTCCACATTAAATGTTGCTGAGGAAAGTTTACAATCTAATAAAACTGAGCGCTGAGATCTAGCTGCTCCGGCAGCTCCCTGGTGCTGGTTTAGCTCTGGCTCCGTGCTGGGTTTGCCAGCTTTCCTGGTCTGGCAGGGAGCAGCCAGATGTCTGTGTCCTGAGCTGCTTAGCGTCTCGGCCACCCAGACAAATCACCGCCAGGCAGCAGTGATAGCTGCCACATGCTTGGGGTTCTGGCACATCCATCTTTGATCTTTGAGTGCTGCCAGGTCTGCAGATGTGTTGGTGCTCACTCCCTTTGCTGTTCTGTTTAAAAAACAAAACAAAACAAAACAAAAAAAAAAACAAAAAAAACTTCCTTAAAGGTCTGTATGCAAGCAAGTAGCATTCCATTTCTGAATAGATGTACTGAGTCAGTCAGTTCTTGCTGAATAACGTGTGCTTTGTGTAAGTAGAGCCAGGCTCTGTCTCCACAGTAGGATATCTGCTGCCAGGCTTAATCCGACACTTCTCTCCAGACGTAGAATAGCAGTGGGGCTTCAAACAGCGTGTTCCTGAGTGAAAAGGGACGTGTTTCACTGTGTTACGTTGAGAGAATGGTTCGCCTTTCTGAAAGGTTTCCAGAGAGAGGAGGATTTCTACTCTAAAATTGAAATGAAAGTTTTTTCTCCTTTTGGATTGGTTACCAGCTTTCTTTTAATCTTTTGAGCTTGAATAACTTCTAGAATTGATAGCTGTTGACTGAGAAACGTGCTACTAATTATCAGAGCTGTAAAAGAGCATTTCGTACTCTGAATTTAATACATTGCATATTTTCTCTTTAGACTGCTTTTGTTTCAGATCCTTCCCTTACACAGTGAAGGGAAGCTAGCACATGATAACAAATCCTTTTAAAAAAAATAATAATAATAAAATATATATATATATATATATATATAAATTATAATTTACAAATAGCTAAGAATGACAGACAAATAGAAAAGTTCACGTAATCCTTGTATCTCATTTTGGCTACTGTTATATCATGTAGTTTCCAACCCTTTGCAATTTATAACTACATCCTGAACTTCACTGGCTGCACAATTGGGTAGCTACTGATATCATTTTGGAACTGTATGGTTTTGGGAAAAGAAAGTTTGAATGGCTGCAGAAGCTACTCAGCACGGGATGACATTCGTGGTACAGGGCGTTCATTCCTTAATGCTCATAGTAAGAAAATTCATGGTGTGGGCCTGTGTTAATGTAGTTATCAAGTTTATATTTCTTGCAGAATTTCAAAGCCCGGGGCTTTGGAGGAGCTCGCCTTTCACATGGACTGCTTTGCCTTGCAGATCTTTGGCACGCAGTGACTAAGAGGTTGCATGGTGAAGCCTTACTCTTCTGTAAGAGTTTCCATTCAGACTGGGAGTGCTTGAGTGATTTCAATTAAATAGTACCTTGTATGCGTCATTAGAAAAGGCTGTGATTTGTTTGGTTAAAATCTCACTCGTGGATTTGTGGGACGATGCTGATCCTGCCTGCGCTGCAGTGATGACATTGTACAACATGACTCACTGCTCTGGGCCCCGTAGCACCACTGCTGCTGCCCAATTGGAATGAACCATTTCCCAATGACATGTGGTAATAACGCCTGTGATGACACAGCTCAACCAGTAGTGTTTTGGCAGAACACCTCAATGAAGTGGTTGTCTGTTCCTCTTTCCTGCTGCCTGCCGCTCCCTCTGCTGTTCTGGGGCATTCTCTTGGGGGTGTAGGTGAACAGGGTAGCCAGACCTGTCTGGTGATGCTCTGCTGTTAAAGGAAGCGGTTCTCTCCTTTCCACCGGCTCTGACAGTTGTCTGAATCACAGTCAGCTCTGCAGAGTGCCTTTCCCTTCTGTGGGTTGAATATTCTCTGAGCCTGGGGAGCTGAAACAGCTTGCAGTGTGATAGGTGAGCACCGGGGCTGATGCCAAGGGAAACTATATTGAGTAGTCAGGCTGGGCAAAAACTTGTCCTGTATTGTCGGGAGGAACCTGCATGCTGGAGAGTGCTTAGAGCTCCTCACCAGCATTGGGTGCAACTGGACACAGCTGCAGTGTTCTGGTGGGTGTGCGCATACACATGTGCCTGCTGCTGTTTCTTTACAATGAATGCTGTTCTGGCCTTTTCAGGTTGGCTTTAGTATTGGCATTAGTTTCAAAACAAAACAAAACAAAAGCTCTTTTAGTATCATCTTATTCTTCATAATGTTGCAACAGATACAGCAATTGCAAATAGTTCTAGTTCAGTGTTTTCTCAGTCTTCAATCACAGGTACCAAGGAGGTGAAGGGCCTGCTGTTGTTGATCTTAGAAAAGAGGTGGTCATAGCTCTACAGCCTGGGTTGAAGGAGCCAAAAGGACTCTGATGTTGCATATTTTTGTTGGCAGCTGGTGGATGTAGTAGGAGTCAGGCAGCTACAGAGCACTCTAGGTATGGCAGCAAAGCTTATTTGCTGTTTGGACAGACTGTTGGGGAAGCTATCATATCCCCATAAAAAACAGTCTCTATCTAAAGCAGAAAAGGAGGAATGTTTTCTCGGGATAACAAATTAGGAGCTGACAAACGTGGGTCTTGAAGTTACTATTCCTAGGAATTAGAAAATAAGGACTGGGTATTGCTCTAAGCATAATATTTAGGGTTTTCAGGCTTTGTACATGCACTTCTCACAGTGATGTAAGGCAAGGGTTTTTCAGCTAAGCAAAACATAGTGCATGTGAGAAGAATGAACAGACTGGAGAAGCCCTCAGGCAATACTTCATTTGATCAGACCAGTGCACTGAGAATGCTGTGTTTCTGGGATCTTTTGTTTGTTATTAAAGAGCGTTCTAAATTACTACTCTGGCTGTTACTGCCTTGATTTTCTAGTCTGACTTATTCCACAGTCTGTGACATGTTAAAAGATGTCTTAGGTATAATTAATTTTGAGGACGCTTTCACCATCTTCGTTTTAGAAATGATTTAAGTAACTAATTTTCCTATTTGAATAGGAATTTTAAAAAATAAATAAATAAATACTAGCAGAAGCAAAAAAATGAACCAATTTTCAGATACCTGTGTTATCTGTATGTTTAGGTGGCTGTCAATGCACACATCCCTCCGGATTATCTTCTTAGGATCTGTGAGAGACTCGGACCGCTTTTAGACAAGGAAATCCCACAGAGCGTCTTAGGTGTGCAGACCTTGCTGGGTGTTGGGCGGCAATCTCTGTTAAGGGCAGCAAAAGGTAAGATTTTCACTTTTTGTCTGTCTGCATTTTTGTTTTGACGAGTGAAACCTTTTATTTCAATCTATATTGTGTTATCTGTATCTGTTTGTGTAAACCCTGGTTTATCTTCTCGGTTTTTCAGTTCCTGCTTACTTATTTTGATCTTGCTAAAACACAGTTATTGCTGGCCCTGTTATTGTGTCTTTGGTTGGGAATGTCATCTCTGTGTCCATTATTGCCTTATCTTGTTACTTCTTTCCCTCCCCAGCTTGTTGGACTGGTATTTGTGTCAACAGTGTGATGAACTGGATTAGAGATTTGATCCACCTGAAAAATAGCCATATTTTTCCAAATACATAAACGTGCGTGTGTGTCTGAAGTAACCTACCACAGCATATATTTTGCTGGGCTATCTTTCATTGCTGCTGTGTTCCTTTATTTGATTGTCTGGCTGTGCAGACAGGTTGAAGGGTAGGATGGCATTTGGGGCAGTAGTTAGAGGGTTTGAGAAAGTGAGACATTCTTTGGTGATAGTTTCCTGCTCGTCTTTGCTTGAAGTTCATTTGAACAAAATCCCTGTTCCCTCCTTGAATAGGACACCAGTCTAGTCCTTCTGAAAAACTGCTCTGCTTGAGACAATGTTCCTGAAAGCACACTTTCGTGTTATAACTAAGCGGATCTGAGAGCCATTTGCTATTGAAAAGAGTGGTTCCTCCCTTCCCTCCTCCCTGCCACTTCTCCCCTGTAGGAGCCAGAACTTTCTGATCGTAGAATGTGCTGATTCACAGCTGAACTGTTGCAAAACTTGGTATTGCTATAGTAAGTACTGAATTAAATGAGCTCATGGATCAGAGTGCTGGAGGTGACAAAGGAGCATCCTCCTGAGAGAGGAGCTGGGTGGAGAGCTGGACCTTCCTGTTTCAGTGGCAATTGAGCACTAAATTTTCTGCATGTGAAGTCAGACTCAGATATGTAACCAGGATGGTAGCTTCTTGCTAATCCATTTGATGTCACCTGATGGATGTGGTGTCTGCAATCAGTCATCGCTTTACATCTTAGAAGAAAACATGAAAAAAACCATATCTATGCTGGGAGCTGATCTCTGGGTAAATTAGGGAACAGAGGCTAGATGAATTGCTGACGTGAGGTGGTTTTTAAGTGACAGCTCTATTGTAAAGAGAATTCTGCTGGGCTTATGATGGGATTTTTTCCTTTAGGAAAAAAAGGTGCTGTGACATTGTGCAATTTGGTGTGGAACAGTGTACCTTTTTAAAATTGACACATATGGGTTGTTTTGTTTTTTTTTTTTTTACTCTTAGTTGTGCTTCAGTATGAAGCTTCCATTTGCCGTTAGCATTTGCAGTTATTTTGATCAATTTTGGGAAGTTTAAGTGCTGTTTTTAAGGTGCAGCATCGTAATGCTCTGGGCACAGTTTGGACTGTAATCAGAGGGTGCTCTCAGGAGTCTTTTTGAGTCACGTAACCCCGTACACAGCATGTTCAGAGATGGAGGTGCTGATACATGGACCTACCAATCTGTGGCACTGTCCTTCTCTTTCAGTTCTTATTCACTGTGGCAGCTCGTTTCTCCACTCCAGATGGCCAGAAATGGAAGAAGTCCAGGTCTAATTTCTGAGGCTCTCTGAACAGTCTCAGAAAAATTGCTATTGTTCTGGAGAGAAGGCTCTCTGAGGCCAGTTGGCAGCGTGTAGCTGGAGTGCCTTTAAAGAAAACAGTTTTCATTTTAATAGCTCTTTTTGGGGGGGAAGGGCACGGCGGTGCAGAGGAGTATCTGAAGATAGGGCACATTGCCATCAATTGCAAGAAAACAGATTTATTGAAAAAAATTTCCCTTCTCCTCTTTTCAGGGAGAAAATGTATGTGAGCGTATTCTCAAATGTACAGTTTGTAAGGAGAGATCTTGTAGGTGTTGGGATTCCAAAAAGACTAAAATCACACCAGAATTCAGTGTTGTTTCACTACAAAGTACACCTACTTTTTTTGTTCTCTTTTTCTTACCAGCGGATTGGAAACTATTCACCAAAATGAAGTGAAAACAAGCTAAAAACATTTACGGTCATATTGCTTAGGAATGAGAAATCAGCTTAACAACCTCCACCAATTAACTTTCTGACAAACTACTCAAAAAGATGAATCTTATTTTTCCATGAGAGCAGTTGAGCCTGGAGGCTGAGAAATGACAGACAGGGGTGCTGGAAGTGCTGCTTGATGCTGTTGCTTCTGAGAAGAGCAGGTCAGTTGGGCCTGGCTTGGCTGATCATTTCTCTAACCTGCTGTTAATCTTTCCCATACAGATTTCAGACACACACTATGGAAGGGATCAGCATTTGCAGCTCTTCACAGAGGCCGGCCTCCCGAACTACCTGTAAATTATGGGAAACCACCAAACGTGGGTGAGTTTTGAAGCATAAATGAGGTGGTTTTTCCTTCTCTGTGTTTTTATTAATGTTCCATCTTAAAGTTAACTCTTTCTGTCTGAATTGCTAATTTGGGTTTTCATTAGTGGCTTTTTTGAGATGTCACCATTAATTAATCTAAAAAGCAATCCTCACTGACAGTCAAATAATTGTTTTTGCACTCTTCTGGCTTCAGCCTTCTGTAGTATATGTACACGTGGTAAAACACTGTGTCCAAGTTAAAAAGCTTTGCATGTCACCTTCCTATTTAGGGAGAAATAGGCTTTCATCTGTTATGATACACCCGTAAAAAGTGCATATGCCCATATGATTGAAAAGGCATGGTCACAGGAGCATGTAGACAATCTTTCATTCGAGATCTTTAGCTGGAATAAAGCACCTGGTTCCCAGATAACTTTTGTGTCTCAAGAATTCATTTTGGATCAGTTATGACAGAAAGCAGACTACTTGCAACATCCTTCTACATAAAAGGAAATAATCACCAAACCAACACTTGTATTTGCTTTCAGTTGGATAAAGAACTTGTATAGAACTCGGATGTTTGTATGCATTCAGCTTATTTATCATCAAAGAGCTCTGTTTTGCTTAAACTGAAACATCTTTTCCTAGTATGGTCTGAATTTTCATTAACTATTTTTGCAGCAAACAAATCTGATTCTTACAGGCATAAATATAAGTCCTGTCTGTCATGGTTTCTTTTCATATTGGGGTATTTTATCTATGATTACCATGTGAATTTTTGTGAAGATGTATGGACTTCCCCTGTTTTGTTAGGGGATTTATTCTCGTGCATTTCTCTAACCTGTTGAGTGGAAATCTCTAATGGGAAGTCTTTCTGTTGAACTCCATCCAACTAGCATGATTAATTTAACTTAAAAATCAGAAAACAGAGAGTACCAAGGATACTGTTTCTTTCTTTTTTTTTCTTTCCTCTTTTTCCTGACCACAATCCATGTTTAATCTCTGGAAATAATTCTTTTTTTTTAAGGAGATTCCATTCTCCTTTTCCAGCCATTTCTCCTTTAGAGATCCAGGGATCATGGTGACAATCTTCTGCTTCTACAGTATCTGTTCCTCTGTTATGTTTCTGCACTTTCTCACTGTCTCTCCTTACTAAAAATTAACCTTTGTCTGACATAAAAGTGACAAAGTCAAGACTACTTGTGGCCGAAACCAGTGGCACACTTTGCATAAAGTCTGTGGTGTTCCAGCAACAGTGACAGAAGAGTGAAGTTAATATGGATCTCCTGTATGGAAAATAAATGGATATTTGCCTAGAGCTTGTTCATAATTTACTATTACCTTAATACTTTTCCTGCTTTTGCAGGAATTTGAGCTATACTGTGTCACTTAAAAAAGAAGGAACTATTTCCATATATTGATAATGTTACTTCTGTGCATATCTCTGTAGTTATTCTTTTAGACTGGTTCTGAATTTACTATAAAATTAGCACTTAAGTTGGTGGACTGCTAATAAGTTGGATTGTAGGTTGACTGCATAACCTCAATTTCTGTAAAAATTGTATTTCCATAAGGGGTTCTGGATCAACACTTCGGTAAGATATTTTTGGAATACTTGGTGTTATTGATGAAGCATAGTGGCGTATTGGACTTCAGCACTATCATGCTATCTTGACAAAGGTCTCTGCTACTTGCTTGGTGTCTGTTCAGTGACTTGGAGAACAGAATGTTCTCTTGTTTTTGATATTTTCCCACAAACTGCTATTAAGAAATACAGAAGTGTTGAGTGGAAACAAGTCTGTATAGCGAGGAGTTCCTTTTTGTAAATACCAGTTTTTAGAAGAACACAGTCCTCCTTGGAGTAGATATATAGAAAAATATGGACAAAGTTTAAAAATACAGAAATGTCCTGTTCTGAAGGTAAGGAGACAGAAACTTGGTTTTGGTGTTCGCAGTGGCTGTTCCTGAATCAGGTGTCAAAAAATTTTTCTGTGCATATTTATGCAGAATTGAGTGGGATTTTTTTTTTTGGTTGAGTGGTGCTGCAGTGTCTGTGTCTTGTTTTAAAATGCCAAACAAAGAAGTACACATAGGCTCTTTAATATTTCAACATGATTGTGAATTCCTGTGCTGTGCTGACTTAGCTTGGGACGGCCTGGGGCAGTCAGACGGGGACAGCCTGGAGGTTTCTGCAAGTACTTGCTGAAGTGTTGGAAGTAGTTGTGCTGAAGGAATGGGTGCCCAGCATCACGTGCAGTAGTGAAATTAAACCACTGTGCAATTGCCTGTGCAGACAGTTAACTCAGGTGTAGAAATAGTGGGTATAAGTATTCTTATATCGTTTCCATTCTAGTGATAAAGATTTAAGCTTGCTGCCAGCAGGATACCATGGTGAGGTTGATGAGCATAGCCTTTCAGACTGTTTCTTTGCTGGTTTTGTGGTAGGGGTATCTTTGGGACTGAATAAAGTTCCATGAAGTCAGCAGCTCTGAAAGCCAGAATGCTTTGTTTCTGTGCTTTTAGCAGGCTGTCTTGGTGACACATTCGCTCTTTGAGAAAGTATTTGGCATGTGTGAGCCAACTGCGTGTGTTTCCCAGTGTCCATGTGAAATCCAGGCTCATGATGTGTCTGTTCTGCTCACTTTGAAAGGAAGAAAGCATTCAGGCCTGATTTGTCTTGTTATCTCTAGCAGTACAGATTGCCACTTACAAATTACTGTTTTACAGCACGTTTGAGTCCCCTGCGTTCGCTGCAGTGATGCCTGTACTTGCACTGGAAGTGCGTGTTCTTTTGGAAATGTGTGTTCAAGGACCAAGGGCAGTGAGAAGCAGAAAAATGTTTTATTGCCTGGCACCCCAAGCTAATGCTGCGGGTTGGTGCTTCTGTAAGCCAGGGCTTCCCTTAGCTCAAGGAGTCAGGAGTCCACATCCCCACCAGTGTAATGCAAGAAAGATCACATAACCTGGATTCATTTCTGAGGTCAGCAATCTCTCCTTACTGAAGGGAGAGTGTGCCAAGTTCTGTGTGGCAGTAGGGAGTGTTTTGGAGATTGTGAAGGTTGTGAATAAGGAATGTTTTGGCTGGTGAAAGGCTATCAGCAGCAGTGAGGTTCATGGCATCCCTGCACATGGGTGGCAGTCATGTTAACAGCTACAAGAGCAGAACTTCACCTGAGAAAGCAGTTCTGTTTGCAGTAAAAGTTGCTTCATTTCTTAAAAAGAAGACTAGATATGCTCACTGTTAATATCATGCAACATTAAGACAGTTTTGAAGGCTTTTCTTAGGAGTAAATAGTGAGGGGAAGGAGCGGACCTGGCGGCTGTTAGGCCTAGTATGGCACAAAGTGCTGCAGCTATTTAGATGTGTTTCTCAAAGTTTTTAGGAGTGCTATTTTTCTAATTCTCCCTGTGGGAATAAGGTTTTTTTTTTTTAATGATTTTAGGCTTTGAGTATAATAACTTTATTGCACTAAAGAAGACAGATTTCCCAGGGCTTTTTATCTTGTACTTAGGTATTACACCCATTAATCTCCTACCAAAAGATAGGAGAACTAGATTTGCGCATGGTTTGTTGTTGTATTCTGGTGTGTTCTGATGTGTGTATGAGTGCTACTTTGCAGTTCCTTTGAAGGCAGTGAGAGTGTATGAAGTGTGGGTGGACTAAGATCTCGGTGATGGTTTTGTGTGTGAGATAGACATTTCTGGTTTACACTTAGCTTTTTTGCAGTGAGAACCAGGTGTGTCGAAAGCTTCCTTCTTTTTGTTCTAAGATGCACTTGTGCCTCATGCACGGTGTGTCCTTTGTGTGAGTTACAACAATGAGCAGTGGTACATTTCCAGAAGAGAACACTGCAGTGCACAGAAGGTACTGTGACTATTGGGAATATATTGAAATACAGTTACACCTTTTTGATTCACAGTTGTGTGTGTGTGTGTGTGGTTAAAAATGTTCAAAGTCATCTGAAATTGTTTCAAGGCAGATAGGCTGTTACTGTGTGTTTGAATTCTCTGAAAGGCAAAGCAGAATTACTGTGTTGCTCAGTTGCTACATCTCTGCTTTACCCTAACAAAGCTCCAGTGGTGGGTAAAGGGAACTGTAATGTTTTTAAGAAGTTAGATGCTAAGCTGGTTTGTCTGAACAATGTATAAAAATAATGTGTAGGTAAAGCAGAAGGTACCATTTTACTGCATTTATCACTGTTCCCTCCTGTAAGAGGTGAGGAAAGCTTCATTTCTACTTTGCTAGGGGAGGCAGTTTCTATACAATATAACAGGTCCTATATAATATCAGGTATTGCTTGAATAGTAGGCAGATAGTAAATTAATTTGGCTTAGTGCATTTTACTTCTTTAGTACTGCTGTGTATGTGCTTTTGCATGAAAAACAAATATTGACTGAAGATAAGATCATGGTAGGAATCTGATTTTTTCAAGCACAGACTTTTTCCATGCTACTGTGCCTTTTGTCTAATATGTAGCTTTTTTTGTTGCATTCAATTATTAACAATAGCCCAAATTTCAGGGCACAAAACTGAGAAACAAAAATACCTTCTGTAAACCTGGATCTAATTCATTTTTCTTCCCTGCTTATCCCTCTGCTTGTGTTTAAGTGCCTCAGTCTTATAAATGTACAAAAGTGTGTAATGACTTTGTAACTCTTTGGAAGGATGCTTCTTGACTTTGTAATTTTCTAACATCTTCCATGGTCTTTTTTTTTCCTCCTGGTGTTTGTGTAGGCAGGTAAAAAGCATGATGATACAATTAAGAAAATGGGTCAAGTTGTTCTTTAGGCTGTTAAAATAAAGGGCTGAAAAGCACTCGGGAGCTTCCTGTGGCTCCTGGGAAGTCCTGCCTACTGCAGTGTGCAGTACACAAGATAAGGGGAGCCACAGGGAGCCTCCTATTGCAAGCAGTCTGCAAACCCACCAATACAGCAGCTGTGTCTCGAGTGGCGTTAAAAAAGAACTCTCAAAACTCTGAAGTCAAAAGTTCAAGTGGCACGAATTAGGACAGGTGAAATTAAACGCCAAGAGTTGTCTCAAATTATGCATTGGATCAAAGATTAGAATTAACATCTTTCTGTATTCTGCAGCCATGATGATCTTCCTGCAGTGGTGTGCCCTGGCTGTCAATTTCATGCTTAGTCTCTCCTCTCATTTCCTAGTGAAAAGCTTCATAGTTACCTTCAGCGAATCTGTTAGCAGTGCTTGTCTGTACCTCACAGAATCACAGAACGGCCAGGGCTGGAAAGGACCTCAAGGATCATGAATCTCCAACCCCCCTGCCACAGGCAGGGCCACCACCCTCCACATTTAATGCTAGACCTGGCTGCCCAGGGCCCCATCCAATCTGCCTTTGAACACTTCCAGGGACGGGGCATCCACAACCTCTCTGGGCAGCCTGTTCCAGTACCTCACCACTCTCTCTGTAAAGAATTTCCCCCTGACATCCAACCTAAATCTCCCTTCCCTCAACTTAAAACCATTTCCCCTTGTCCTGCTGTTATCTACTCTTTCAAAGAGTTGATTCCCCTCCCCTCTGTAGGCTCCCTTTAGGTATTGAAAGACTGCAATGAGGTCACCCCGCAGCCTTCTTTTCTCCAGGCTGAACAAGCCCAGCTCCCTCAGCCTCTCCTCATAGGAGAAGTGCTCCAGTCCCCTGATCATCTTCATGGCACTCCTCTGGACCCTCTCCAGCAGCTCCCTGTCTTTTTTTGTACTGGAGGCTCCACACTTGGATGCAGTACTCCAGATGGGGCCTCACAAGAGCAGAGTAGAGCAGAACAATCACCTCCCTGTCCCTGCTGGCCACCCCTCTTTTGATGGAGCCCAGGATAGCATTTGCCTTCCGAGCCACAAGGGCCCACTGCTGGCTCATATTAAGCTTTTCATCTATCAAGACCCCCAGGTCCTTCTCCACAGGGCTGCTCTCAAGAACCACTCCTTCCAGTCTGTATGGATGTCTGGGATTCCTCTGGCCCCAGTGCAAAACTCTGCACTTTGCTGTGTTGAACCTCGTCAGGTTCACCTGGGCCTACCTTTCTAGCCTCTTGAGCCTCTGAATGGCATCCCTTCCTTCAACCGTGTTGACCGCACCACTCAGCTTGGTGTCGTCAGCAAACTTGCTGAGGGTGCACTCGATTCCGTCATCGATGTCATTGATAAAGATGTTAAAGAGCTCCGGTCCCAAGACAGACCCCTGGGGGACGCCGCTCGTTACCGGCCTCCACCTGGACATGGAGCCATTGACAACCACCCTCTGTCTGCGGCCTTTCAACCAGTTTCTTTTCTATCGAGTGGTCCACCCATCAAATCCACATCCCTCCAGTTTGAGATAAGGATGTAGTGGGGACCATGTCAAAGTCCAGGTAAATGACATCGGTCGCCTTTCCCTTGTCCACCGATGCCGTCACTCCATCATAAAAGGCCACAGACTGGTCAAGCATGACCTTCCTCTGGTGAAGCTGTGCATTTGTGCATTGGGTTTCAGCCTCTTTTTGTCAGGACCCCTAGGAGTAGCAATATTGGTATCATTTGTTGTTGCAGGTTTTTTTCTGCTTGATGCTCTTGACTGGAACTCTTTCTATCAGCGCTGCATGTTTCTTGTTCTTATATCGTTATAAAAATGAAAGGAAGTTGCTGCTACTGCCAGTAATGAGAGAGACTTTATGAAAAACATAGAAAACTTTTGATCCTGACGTATGATCTAGGGTCCTTTCCAAATAAATCTATTTTATCACAAATTAAAAAACAAACAAACAAACAAAAGAGATGCCATCCAAAAATAAATTTGTGATGATTGTTATATGGGAATTACGTATTACTAATACCAAATTTTCAAAGTCCACAGAATATATCTGTTGCCTGTTTGTGATCTGAACTCTTCGATTAACTTTTGGTGATTGTGAAAACACTTTATTTTGTTTTAATATTTGTTAGGAAGCCAGGTGTATCGTGTGTTGTAATAGGCTTTGAAAACTTCTTCCTTCATGGTTGTGTATTTTTTGGAAGACTGAACAGAATGTCCTGATAAAGTGGCAGAGGTTCAGATTTATGGATTATAAATGTTGTTACCAAATCTTATATTGACACAATATTTGTTTACTTTGAGTCCTGGACACAAAATCCAGGTCTTAATTTTTATTATTACTTTTTTTTTCTTCCAGTAAATATTCTTTCTGCACGGCAATTAACTGGATGTGGACGTTTCAGCCACTTGTTCCCAACATCCACCTACCAACAGATGAAGATGCACAAGAGGATATTAGGGCATCTATCTTCTGTTTATTGTATAGCCTTTGATCGCAGTGGGAGAAGAATTTTTACAGTAAGTCTAGTAATTTAACTTTTCTTTGAAGATTGCTTTGCTTAGTTTGGTTTTCTTCTTTTTTGTGTCCCTTATCAGCCTCTTTGTTGTTGATGGAGATGCAGAAACAGCCTCCAGAAAAAGAAGGGAAGAAAATATTTGATATATATGAAAATCCATCTTTTTCATTGTTAGTTTTCACTTTTCACTTGAGTTGATGTTTTAAAATTGCTTCTGGCTCTGGTAGACTGAAACAGCTATCTGCTTACCAGCCCTTACAGAAGAGCTGTTCCAGTCCAGATCTTGTAGCTCTCACTTGAAATGTGTGCTCATTTTTATTGGTTAATCAACTTTCTTGCTGAATGGCACCTGAATTATTCTGGACTTTGTAATTATTGTGCATACTGCTTGCTGAGTTCAGTCTTAACATTTTCTTTTTTTTTTTTAAACTACATTTTACCTTTGGTAACCTTGGAAATTCTGGCAGTCCTCTTACATCTCAGTAAAAACCTGGTGACAAATAAAGAGCCTCGTCTGCAATTTACGCCTCTGCTAAATGTACTTTCTAGAGTTCATAGTATGTCACTTTCACATGGAAATATGAATACCATTTTCAGTTTTTCATTATAATATATAACATATGTTTCTATGACACTATGCTTGGTTTTTGTTGTATGTATTTAAAAACCAACGGATTTTTAAAATTAATAACTAATAATGCAATTTTAAAGAGTGAATGCTAATCCTTGTCTTGGCTTTTCTTTGCCCTTGTCTCTTATTGATAGCTATTTAGCACAGTTTACCTGGAAGGCTAATTGTTACCTTTGTTTTTTTTTGCTAGCTTTTCCACTAATCATGAATTGGTCAAATAGAGATATTATTATGGTAATTACTCTGGATCACAGTGAGGGCCTTTCCATTTTTATCTATATCATAAAAAAAAAAATATCTTTCTCATCTGCAGTTATATGAAGTACTGAAACTGATTTGTTTGTGAGCTTATGTGCAGCTAATAAAATGTAATTTAAAGTCAAATGATGTTGACATCATGCTTGAGCTCTTTTGCCTGCTTGAGTTAAGGTCAAAATCAGTATTGTTTTTAATATTTGGATAGTTCAAGTATCTGTGAACTGCCTAAAAATTGTCAATAATATTCAGACTGAGTGTGAAGTTATGTAGCTGCTATTAGAGGTAGAAGAATTTTACAATAAGCTGCTGTTGGATTGTATCCTGTCCCAAACTGAATTCTCGCAGTTTCACATGATATCCATGAGTTCTCTTTTCGTGGTCCAGCTTTCTTCCATTAACAAAAATTAAACCTCATGTTACAGCTGACTGGCAGCTCTTGGAGCCTGGCAGGGGTTCTGAGGTGCCTCACGTGCTTAAGTTCTCATTTTCCTTAGAGCTTCCTCCAGCATTATGGTCACCTTACATTTAATATTGGATTGATCCTGCTCGCACAGATGAACGTGCCTGTTAATAACACATAATTAAACATCTCATCTGAAACTTGATTACTACTGAAGGTACTGAAAGATGTTATATTTGCAGTGTATATTAGTACAAATCAAAAGAGCGTCTTCTGTTTTACAAACATCTCAATTCCTGCCATCACAAAATGGTTCCCAAACTCAGATGTGTTTCTATGGAATCCTGCTGAAGTTGTTCATCTGGCAGTTCCTGACCTTGGGGTGCTTTAGGTACTTGTTCATCCACAGCCCGCGTGTGTAACGTGGACACATAATGTGTATATTATTTTATATAATCTTTGGAAATTTTTCTGGCATTAGGGGTCAGATGATTGCTTGGTCAAAATCTGGGCTACAGATGATGGGCGCCTGCTCTCAACGCTGCGAGGACACTCGGCTGAGATTTCTGACATGGCTGTTAACTATGAGAACACGCTGCTTGCAGCAGGCAGTTGTGATAAGATTGTCAGAGTGTGGTGTCTTCGAACCTGTGCCCCAGTCGCAGTCCTGCAGGGCCATTCTGCTTCCATTACTTCTATACAGGTAAGGAATTACACTTCTTCATGAGCTGTTGAAATAAAAAGGTACCAGCAGATGGGAATAAAACTTCTCTTTTCATTGTGTTTGGCAGTGTAGGTTTGTCCTAGCTGAGAGCATCAGATGAACTGGCAGGGACAGGGGAAAACAGCTGGCATCCTTGAAAGCTGTGTACGCAGCAACTGGGAACCTCATTTCTCTTCCCCTTGTCTATACTTCCAGTTTTGTCTGATTTTAACTCTGTTGCAATTTACTTACTTTATTATTATGGCAATATTTTATAATTTGATTTTGTGTTATATATATTTATATAAACAAAATATTATATATGGTATACATATACAATGTATATATGACATTCCTAGCAAGCTTTTTTTAAAAATTCTGATAACTTAGAAAATAATCATAATTCTTTGACTTTTTGAGGAAACAGGAAAATGTCATGCACATAGAGAATTAGAGAGGTATTCTCTCATCTTGTTGCCCTGGTCAGAAGGACTAAGCTTCTTTCCTTTCGGAGTTAAATTTTCTGTGGCCAATATAGACTTGCTAGTCAAAATGTGTTTGTTTTTTGTTTCTATTTTCTCGGCTTTATTTTTATGGAAGTTCATTTTCTATGTTTGTACCTGTTCCTGCTCTCTGTAATCTTGAGGAGAAAGTTAATATGCTAATGAAAAATATTCTTGTCAATGTCCATTTACTGACTTGTGGCATGTAAGGGGGAGAATGAAATTAGCTGATTGAATTCTAAACTTTATTTTCAGTTCTCTCCAGCAAGAAAAGGCACAACACGATACCTCACTTCTACTGGTGCTGACGGAACAATCTGTTTCTGGCAGTGGCATGCTAACACCATGAAGTTTAAGTAAGCCTGTCAGATTATTATTATTTTAAAAGAAGGACAAATCTACTTGGAATTTTAAAATGGAGAAGAATGCTGGGATAATTAAGGGCATGTTCCTTCTCAATGAGCAAGTTCCTTGGGGATGTGTTCTGCTATATACTTGCTGCTGGATGACTATGGTGTGACTGCCATACATAACACCAGTGTGTGGGGCAGAGAGCACTTTCTTATATGCACTGCAGAGTCTTGGCGTTACAATGCAGAGGGGAGGTTAGTTTTTCTTTTTTCTGTGCTTTGCCAGGCAGTGCTGTGGAAGAACTTAATGCTTTTGTGTTCAGGACCACAACCTTGTGTGAAATGTACAAGCAAAGATATTTCATTGCTTTTGATCAGAAGAATACGGATCTATAGATGGCACCAAACCCACACTTAATAGGAAATAAATCCTATTATACAAATGGCTTGCCAAGTTCTGTTTTAAATAGATTTAAGTTGGTTAATACAATTATAATTAAGATAAATATTTTCAATTTAGAAAATGTTGGTTTTATTCGTAAACAAATAAAAATAAGCTCTAGCAAAATAAGGTATGAATTATGAAACAAAAAGTTTTAGGATGGATGAGCTGACCTTATGAGCTGCAGTGCAGGAAAAAAGTAATGAAGAGTAAAAATGCTGTTATGTCACACACAGGGATCGCCCTGTGAAATTTGCGGAGAGGTCCAGGCCTGGTGTTCAGATATCTTGTTCATCTTTCAGTTCTGGTATGTATGCAGTATGAGGTAGCTGGAAAGTGTTTTCTGAACTGTAATTCCTCTGATGGGTGACAGGACTATTATTTCTTTATAAATACAAATGATATCAAAGCCTTTTTCAGTTAATCACAGCACTGTCAAACTGATTGTTTGAATTTCTTCGTGCAGTGTCTGTTTCAAGCTGCTTTTTTGTTTTTTGTGTGTGTGTGTGTGTGTGCACGCTTGTTTCTTTGTTTTTAAATTTGACTTAAATGCCTTTACCATCTCAGAAAAAAGTTCCAGTAAAGATTTTCAATAGAAAGTTCTTGAAATCTTCCAGACAGGTGACTTCTGTTTAGAGATGGCTCTTTTGCCAATTCCAGATTTGGCTGTATTCTAGAAAGATCAGTTCTCACTTAGAGACTTCTTTGGGCTGCAGTAATTTCCAGTGTTTCCTTCAGGGCACTTTTGCCCTCCCTCTTTCCCTCTGGCTGCCCAGGCTGCACGTGGTGCTGCTTGGCAGAACCATGGAGGCCAGACCAGCCGGGGAGTGCAGGAGGGAGACAGAGTTGTCTCATTAGTGAGCAGCTAATCAGTAATCTACTTAGTACTGAGCAGTGAAGTATAAAATAATCTACTGAGTGATTTGTAAGTGACCAAGTCCTTATGTTCCCTTGTATGCGTTTGAAAATATCAGCTTGAATAACATCCTCTGTTACAGCTCTTAATCCTCAAAAATAGTGATTCTCACTAGCAAAACTGTGTAACTTCTTATTTATTTTTGTTACCTGAAATTGAGAACTATTCTAGAGCCACACAACCCTTAACATACTCCTTTTTTAAAATCTGGAGTCCTGAAATCGTGAAAACCATTTTGATGCCATAAGCTACACATGAGTACCCATTTTTTTCTGCAGTATTATTAACAGAACAAACAAACATTACAAGAAAATAACTTAATCTCTGACTCCCAGTTCAGCAATAATTTCTCTAATGCACTTCAAATAAATGTGCTTCCATACTTAGTTTGGCCAGTGAGGATATCAAATTGTTCCCCTTCTATTGTTCTGCATAGGCTGACTGAGGGCACTGTGTATTTCTGGAGGAATGGAGGAAGGCAGTAGAATTAGTTGATGTGTGCTGTAACTTGCAATTTTATCTTCTTTTGGTTGCAAAGACAGCTGTAAAATGTTGCAGACCTCACTGTTATGTTAAAGTTGATATGGTCTGAGAAAGTACAGGTTAAAACAGAAGTTGTCAGGGTTGACTTATTTTTTCAGGATGTGTGTTTGCATTACATTGAAATTTTCGGTTTAGAACTTGTTTAAAACTGCTTCTTTAACAATAAAGTAGTAATTGAATTTAGTTGTTCCTTGGATGACTTCTCACCAAAACCACTGTCTGTCTTAGGTGGCATGTTCATTGCAACAGGTAGTACTGACCACGTGATAAGAATATATTATTTGGGCTCAGAGTCTCCAGAGAAAATGGCTGAGTTGGAATCTCACACGGTAAGAGACAAATCAGAAAGGAAATCTTCCTTTTTCCCTCTATCTTATTTCAAGAACTTAAGCTTTGTATACGCCATTAAACTTCTTTTCTGCCTTTAGAGTTTGGTTGGCTCTCAACACCGTGGTATTTTAATGCCTTGAAGTTTGTAATGTACTTATTTTAAAATTCCCCTGAAGCCTGAAATGCGTGCAGAATATTTTATGTATTTTATATATTTTTATATATTTTATCCCCCCGCCCTGAAAACCTTTATTCCAGGAAATGGGAGGAGGGACTGGTTTATTTTATTTGTTTCTGAAGAGAGTCTGTGATGGGGTGGGGAATTTAAAGCAGTTTTCAGGAAGACATTATTATTCCTATTGAATTTTTTCTTGAATATTTAACTTGATTTGTGACAAAAATCTATGTAATAAAAAGACCTCAGAGTGATTCTAGTTTTAGAGTATGGCGTCAGACTCTGGATCATTTAGAAAGCAAGGAAAACTTAAGAGTATCCTTTCACTGGTGATGCAGAGGGATTCTCATTGAAATTAAAAATATTCTGAATATCTGTATAACCTCCAAGTCTTTATGGTTTCTATTAAAACTATTGAATGTCTTGATTTTACTGAAATCTGATAAAGAGCAGTTACTGAAATAGTGTCAAATCTGTATTCATTTCTTATTGTTACTGAGAACATAGGATGATAGTATTATTTATTGTGTTTGTGGTAAATAATATATCAGAAAGACCAACTTACAGCAACACTGATAGGCTTCTCAATGATGAGGAGCTTGGAGCATTTATCTTTATACTGTAATAGCCCAGCCACCCACTTTAATAATATTTTGTGCATTAGGGCTGAGGACTAAATTGATTAATTGAGTCCTGAGTTCTGCGTTTGTGTCTCAGAACTTCAAGTCAGTAAATCTAGTAAATGTTTTACTCACCAGCAAGAACTTGTCTTCTGTATTCAGCACATCAGCTTTGGAATTCGGCTTAATACCTCAGCTTGCTGTTAGCCCTGCCCCTGTAGAAGTCCTGAGCTGGACACTTGTTGTCAGGACCTGGGAATGCTCATGGGAGGAAAGATTAGCAAGTGCACGTAGCCGATACAAGTATTAAGCAAAATAAAATAACAATTTTTTAAAAACGTCTAAAATTTAATGCTAGTTTCTCAACAATTAAGAAGTGGAAATAAAACCAAGGTTTGTTTGCTTTTTCTGTTGTTGTTGGACAAAATATTTTGAACTGTTTTAATATTCTATCTAAAAATTGCAAGCCTCTTATGTATGCAGTTAAGTCATTCTTCTACCATTGTATTGAGTGCTATACCTACCAGGCCTTGGGACTCTGGGAGTACCTTACTCCTGTTAACAGTGGAGTGTTAAAGGTGCGGGGTTCCCAAGCAGGGTTTGCCCTGTGGCATTGTGCTGGAAGACTGTGTTCAGGTAAGAGCAGAGCTGCTGCAGCTTCTTCCTCCTAAATATGCAAGTATTGGAGAAGCTGAGCTAGAAATCCTTTGCATCCCTGAGCTCCTTCTGGAAAGCTGTGGATTCACTGCATCTTTGAGATTTTTCTCTTTTGATGTCTAACACAAAATGCCTGCTTGGGAAAATTTTAACATGGGATGTGACTTTTCTTGAATTTGTATGATAATGTATTACAGGAGACGTATAGGAAGGAGTAATTTGCTAAACAGCAGTTCAACAATGAGAATTTTTTGGATGAGTGTTTCATCTTACAAAGCACTTCCTACTATTTTTTTCCTTCCTTTTTAGGACAAAGTTGTCGCAGTCCAGTTCTGTAACAATGGAGACAGGTGAGTGTGGCCACCCTGGGATTTTTCCATTGAAAGTATGGTATTTAATTTCTAAACAACTTTCCAGAGTAAACTTAGTGCAACAGGAAGAGTGCACGTGGGCTCTGATTAATCTTAGACAAATTATTTAAAGGTTTAAAGTGTACTGGGAGATACATACCGTATCCGCAAGCTTAATCTTGCTGTCTTCTGCTGTAACAACAAAAATATTCTATGACTGTTCTTTTCTTGGTGGTTTTTTTTTTTTTTTCTTCTTAACTTGAGAAAATAGGAAACCAAATTTTGTATCCTTTTAGTGTCTCACCTCACAGGTAGGCTTGTTAAGTACAGGAAGAGTTACTTCTAGAGTAAGAGCACTGTAATTGACATAAGCTAAGCAAAAGCTAAAACTGTTACACATTCATAGATGGTCAGACAAGCAAGTGTGCTTCATGGACTGGAATGCAATCATCTGCAAAGAGCTGTGATCTGATCTTCATTAAGGGGATTTCTGTTGCAAGGTGCTTTTACCTGAGAAAGTTGGCAGTAGCAACTGAATGTATTCAAGTTTTCAGATTTTACGGTAGGATCTGGGATTTCATTTTCCAATTACTTTGCTTGATCATTTCAGTCCTGTTAGGGTGAGGTGAAGAGCAAGCATATGCACTTACCTGTTTATTTGTGTGGCTGTCATTTGGTAATGACTTTCAACTGCCTATTTTTTTAGAGCACCAGGAAGCAAGGGGGTGGCACAGTGGCTGTACCACACCTCTGTTTGCCAGATTTAGCTTGTGCTGATGGCCAACTTAGAGGCAAAGGAATGGACAAGCTACCAGTGATAGCAGCACTTCAGTTAGCTGTTGCATTCAAAGAAGATCTCTGTTGTTTCTGTAGTGAGGCACAGATAAAAATGCCACTTTATCCTCTTTCAGCTACTCTTGTTCCACCCTCTCTTTAATATGGGAACTCTGAAATATGTGGCTTTCAAAGAAGTGTGCTCTTAGGCTAGCGTTGGAGCAGTCCTATCCACAACCTCATGCAGTAGCTGATGAAAGGTAGATAAACAGGAAAGAAGAAATAGAAATTGGTGTGTTGTCTGAAGTGTGATGGGAAGGAATCATGGATACTTTGGCAGCTGAGTATCTATTGTGCATAAGTGAAAAATGAACTGCACAACTGTGTTATATGTAGGATTCTTTTTTTTCTTTGTTTAATTGTGCACTTACTTATCGTGTTGAAGCTGGTAGTGTTGTCGATAGATTACATATGTGTCAGTTTGTATTTTAGTGGGTTTTTTTTGTTGTTGTTGTTTTTGTTTTGGTTTTTTTTTTGTTTTTGTTTAGTTTTTAGGCCTTTCTTGCCTATGCTTTCTGCATCTTTTGTACCAGCTGGGGACCAGAAAGCAGCCAATGATTTGCATAATTTGAAATATAATTTCCAAATATAATTTCCAAATGATATGACATTGCTGATATTTTGCTGAAGCATGAGGTCATCCACCCTTTGCTATCTGTCTAGTTTAATTCCTTGGTGAATGGCTTCTTCTGTGAGGCACTCTCTGTGAATGCTGACCAAGCAAGTTCTGTCTTCTGGTGCTCAGAGTTCTGAAAAATTTGGGAAGTGTGTTTGTTTTAATGAATTTGCCATTCGTAAGTTCTTGACTTGACTTCAGTGGGAGTGTAGTGAAGAACATGATGTGATGAACAGCCTCCAAAATGACAGGAGAAAATCTGATTTGTTCTTGAAGGGGAATAAGCACAGAGCAGCTCTTCAATGGGGTATAAAGGCCTTTGGGTCTTGTGGACAATTTTATTGGTCTGCTTTATTATTTATAAAAATTTGCTTCTGTCTGATAATGTGTCTGCAAAAATGTGAATTTTTAGGCAAATCCTGAATTTCCAGCTAATTAGTTTAGATTACTGCTTTTGCTTTTAAAACCTGCTTTAAGTCGGAGTGCTGTTGCTTCTGTAGGAATTGCAATCAGGATGCCCATGGTGAGAGGTTCCTATAGGCATATCTGTGTGACAAGCTTCTGCAGCACAGCTGTGTTAGAGTGCAGTATGACAAGCTATGATTAGTGACCAACATCCTAATGTAAATGCATTTATGCCAGCTTTTGCTCATTTTCCTTATTTTGCTTGGCAGAAGGTTTAAGGGATTTTGCATGCAGGAGCCATCCAAGCAAAGCAGTGCCTTTGCCAGAGCAACTGCACCTGTACTCAGAAATCTTTGTCATGGAAAATTATATGGGAGTGTACTTATATAATGGTATGAACTGTTCCTTCCTTCCAAAGAATGTGAGAGCACAAGTCCCACTGAGGGTATTAAGTCAGGTAGTCACTGAAAATTATACTCATATGCTAAATGGAAAAGTTATGACCGTGTTTTTACTTTATATTAAAAAAATAATAAAGCAGGAAAGCTTGTCATGTGTGTTTTTAAACACTTTTTCATCATCATGAAAAATTTCAGGTCAAGAAATGCGAGAAGGTGAACCAATCATTGTTTCTGTATGTAAATGTAGTACATTTTTAAAGGTGTTTGCTTTCCTGAGAAAGAATGTTATTTGGGGAGCTTTTTTCAAAATTCTCAACAAAAATGACTTCTGTAATATTGATGGTTGAAGCTTTATGATATAGTTTTGTATTCAGCTTCACAGGCAGGGCTACTACTTTTATTCAGCATGGGTATTTCCCTTCTCTGTCTTCACCTTTTCCCTAAGTTAATGTATTATAATTTATGCTAGACTCTTGGCATGTAATTTCTTTTTCTTTGCTTCCACTATGAACTGCTCAAGGGATTTGCTGATGTCATTTAAAAGGGAATGTGCAGCTTGTATGAATTACGACATTGAAGTCATTCCAAGGCCATCTGCTAGCTATAACCAAATGTAATTAATGTTGTGAGATATAAACTGTTTTCTGCTGTACAAAATCTGATATGAAAATTGTAACCTCACTATCTTTTAATTATATTCTCTAGATCAGAGATGCGCAAACAATATAAAGAATAAGTGTTGAAAAAGTATTAAATACATTCTAGCTTCTGTACTGATTTGAGCACGCGTGCTCTTGGCTTGCCAAATTTTGTAGCTGCTTTTTATTCTGTGGTAACAGTTCATGGACATTTTATGACAGATTAAACGTGCCTGTTTGTAGGCATATAGGGAGTAAGGCAAGAGTATACACACACGTATGCATCTCCAAGTGTTTTACCTGTATACATGTACGTGTGTACATATTTGGTGCAGAGGGAAACACAGTCCTCTGCCAAACTCCTAAACATTCTTGCCAAGGGTTTAGTATGCTCTGAGCATGCTGCTGCTGAGGATAGAAAGCTCCACAGTGAAGCTACCGAACAGTGAGCATGTAAGAAGGGCATATGGGTGTTAGACAGAAGCAGCAGTGACTTAATGCTTATTCAGAATTTCATGATTGTTTTTGTTTGTTTGTTTTTTGTTTTTCAACTTCACCCCATAGTTTAAGGTTTGTCAGTGGAAGCAGAGATGGAACGGCAAGAGTATGGCAATATCATCAGCAAGAATGGAAGAGTGTAGTCCTGGATATGGCGACTAAAATGACAGGGTAAAGCAAACTAAACAAAGCATGCTGCTTACCATTGTGTACATAAAAACCAAAATCTTCCATGGAATTTAAAACTATTTACTTAATTTTAAGTTAACTAAAAATGCATGTTTGTGGTATAGTGAAAATGCCATGGCCCTGTCTGTTAATTAGCCCCCAGAAGAAAACAGTAATAGTAGTTCCTGACCGTAGTGGATACTTAGTATTTTATTGATGAGGTAAGAATGTCAAATAGAGTTCATCTCATAGAAGGAGATTTTTAGTAGCACCTCATTGATCCTATGCAGACCTGTATGTTTTTAAAATAAGTGTGTGTGTGTGTGTGTGTGTGTGTGTGTGTGTGTGTTGAAGACAACTCGTGTTTTCTCTCACCTCTCAAAAAAGTTCTACTATTTACTGCCATAGTTTCCTCAGGTCATTTATATTCATTTTATGTCATGCATACTGTTTTATTTTTGTACCTACGGGATAGAGTTTAAATTATAATGAATTAATTGAGTTTAAAACATAAAAAGAGCACAGTATATAATACGATTGTGAATCTGGACATTTGGCAGTTTCTAATGTTGTGCAGCCATTGTTACAAATAGCAGGCAGTTTCTTCTGTGATTTCAGTTACTATTCAGATAAACAAATTTAGGCCACTGATGTTTATTTTACTCACTTGAGGACAAGTGACAGTAGGCAGAAGGTTGATGAGAGTTTTGACATGGTTCTTTTCTGTAACAACCTTCTTCCCTGTGTAAACACACTCTGTAAACATACTTTCAGGTTTCTTATTTTAATCCAAGACCTGAGTTGCTTTGCAGAATTTCTTGTAGTATAGAAATGTATATCCAGAGCAATTATTAACATTGCATTTTTCCCTATGCTTTCAGGTAAGAGATGAGTTGTGTTCATTTTGTTGTCAGGTTTATTTAGAATTTTGAATTTTTCTGTTTGAGGTCCTCACGTGACTTCTGAAGACTTGTAGCTGAATATGTACAATATCAAAAATCAGTGAAGGGAAAATCCATTTGGCAGTTTTTCTTCTGCATTCTTTGTATTTCAAATGATTACATTTTTAATAACCTAGCTGGTGAAGTCTGAATCTGATTTATTTAGGAAGCTTTTGCTCACTACAGAGTTTACTTGTGTTGATGACCAATAAGAAGAAATGTCTTGTAGAAAAGGACTTAATGAAAGGAGTTGTGGTAGGTGAGGATGGTCACTGAAGAACAGAAGGGGAACTTGTTCTTTTTAAGGAGAGAGAACTATAAATCTTAATGGTACTGAGCATTTTCTGTATCTGTTTTTTGCTACTGCAGAAGCTCCCTTTCGTTCTCCTTCATTAACCAGTAGTTGTGGCCACCATGTTCTCCCTAACTTCACATTGAGTTAGTGCTGTTAAATGTTTCTATATGCAGTTACTGATTTATTTCTTCTTTAAATTATGAATTTTCTTAGAAACAATGTAGCATCTGGGGAGGACAAGGTGACTAAACTGAAGGTTACGATGGTGGCTTGGGATAGATATGATGCCACTGTCATCACTGCAGTCAACAATTTCCTTCTCAAAGTGTGGAACTCATCCACAGGGCAGCTTCTTCATAGTTTATCTGTGAGTAAAGTTTGAGTGAATAATCCCTATTTGTTATAAATGAACTCTAAAAGTGATTTGAGGCTGAGCTGCAACCTCATGCCTCCTGTTAAGCAGTGTTTTATCCTGAAATATACTGGCTGTCTTGTGCTTTTTGGGAGGATGTGTATCATGAGGAGAGGAGCTGATGACCAAAGTGCTGCTAGACCCTGCTGATGGCTGACAAGGGAACCTATTTGGAGGTCACAGCTTCTGTCCTGACTTAAGGGCTGCAGCTGTCCTCAATACTGATTTCTGCTTCCTCTCCCCTCTCCTCCTTTTGTGCTGAGCTACAGTCTGAAGCAGAAAGTATGATAATGCCAAGCCTCTGACAAAATGTCAGCTAAGTATAGATGCAGTTCTAGTTTAAGATCTAGTAAACTGAGCTGTTTTAGATAACCTCACACTAAATACTGGTGTATTCAGAGATATTATGTGGAAAAACATGACTCTTTTTTTTACCCTGGTTTCGCTGTAGGGTCATGATGATGAAGTTTTTGTTCTGGAGGCCCATCCATTTGACCAAAGGATTGTACTTTCCGCGGGTCACGATGGAAATATTTTCATTTGGGATATAGACAAAGGAACAAAAATTCGTAATTACTTTAACATGGTAAGAATAATCAGGGAAGGAGTTTTTGTTTTTCACATTTATGTAAAACTGGTCTTGAGGCAAGAGTGGATTTCATCATGTACTTGCTGTGAGCAACGTTATAACAAGATTAGTGGAAAGTTCCTGTATATTTAACAGAAAGCACTATACTCTTCAGAAAGCAACACCTAAATATGTTTACTGTGTGTGTAAGTGTAGCAGCAAGTCTTTCATGGGATCTGTTAGGTCAGAATATTATTCATTTATATAGGTATACTATGCAAAAGATAGTAGTCATTCCCAAGGCAGAGCAATGAAACCCAGTAAGTTTCTGTGTTGTAACACAATGCTGTGGTCTGGGAAACAGTATGGTTGTCCTGTGTGGCATCTATCTAAATCCATGCAGTGTCAGGTTTGTTGGTCTGATTCCACTGCTGAGCAAATGCAGCTGTGCTGTTTCAGGGCCTGAGCTAATTTCATGGCACCTGAGGCTGTGAAACCTGCTGGTATGGAGCTACTGTGTGTATGAGTTCTTTGCCACATGCTTGCTCTGTATGTTCCACTAAATAAAATTTAGACTTCTTGTTTCAGAACATACATTAAAAGTTGCATTGAAATTTCAGGGCAAAGAAGTAATTTGACTTTATTGGTCAGTGATACTTTAATAGTTGAGTAGAAAAGTAAAAGCAAGCGTTGAGCGAGTTGGGAGTGTTCACAGAATTAGGATTTAGTACTTGATGGAGCACAAGTGAAATTTTCTTTTCATAGAGAATACGTGATTTTGAAAGGGATGCTCTGTTTGTATACAGATTGAGGGCCAAGGCCATGGAGCTGTTTTTGATTGCAAGTTTTCACCAGATGGACAGCATTTTGCCTGCACAGACTCTCATGGACATCTGCTGCTATTTGGTTTTGGATGCAGTAAATATTATGAAAAGGTGAGTTGAGTGAATTTTAAACTCATCTCTCTTGACCTCATTTTGTCTAAGGAGCAGTTGTGTTAGTTTGTTGTCTCCCCCATGCCCTGGACTAAATACTAATTAAATAAGGGAGCGGTTGTTGTTCATCTAAATCAGAAAGATGTAGATGAGAATTGCTAGACAAGGGAGCAAGACTATCTTCTTTCAATTCACCTTGGCATAATTTACTATTGAATATTTGCATCAAGTCTTGATAATAAAACACACTTGTGGTAGGCGTCTGTTCTCTGTCATAACATTTCTTCTGTTGATTCTAAGTGTAGGAGTTGTGGTATGTGGGTATGGGAGCCATTCCAAAGCTTCACGACAGCTGCAAATGGCCATTTATTTATTTACTAAATTGCTTTTCTTGCAGATTCCAGATCAGATGTTCTTCCATACAGATTACCGACCACTGATCCGTGATGCAAATAACTATGTTTTGGACGAACAGACTCAGCAGGCTCCACATCTTATGCCTCCTCCATTTCTGGTGGATGTTGATGGAAATCCTCATCCCACGAGATTCCAGCGGCTGGTACCAGGGAGAGAAAATTGCAAGGATGAGCAACTTATTCCTCAGCTGGGTTATGTAGCTAATGGTATGCTGTCTAAGTCATGCATAATACATGTATTGCACAGTATTGAGCACCAGTTTAGCAGGATGGTACTGTAAAGATTAATTCTGTTTCTTCTGAAACAAGTGGTTTAAAATCGTCTAGGGGTAGAATAACAAACGGAGTACCTTCATGGCATAAAGGAATTGTATGGGATTAACTAGATTGGAGATAAGACAAGGAGACTTCAGTATTCCAAAATCTGTGGACCTCTACATACATTTATGGCAGAATGCTTTAACTGTCGTCCTGTTGTTCTTGATGTGACTATGTATGTGAGTAAGGAAGTAGGAAAGTAAGACAGGCTTTGAAAAATGCTAATCTCTGATAGAGGTCTTCCACTGTCACCTACTGAAGTATAAATTCTTCCTGTTATTACCAAGTGCTTATTTTTATTTTATGTGCAAGTCTGTAAATATAGGTTTTTCTTGTAGATAATCTTTTAAACTTTGCTTCCATTCTGAGAGCAGAAGGATGGCCTGTAATGAGATATTTTGCAGGGCAGACAGCACAACTTAAAATTTGATTGTTTCTATAGTGTTTATAAATCAGAAATTAAGCATTTTGTAAGCAGTCATGACCCTGTTCTTGTTAAGGTGATGGTGAAGTAGTTGAACAAGTCATTGGACAGCAAACTAATGACCAAGATGAGAGTATCCTTGATGGGATGATCAGAGAGCTACAAAGGGAGCAGGATCTGAGACTAATCAATGAAGGAGAAACTCTTCCAAACCCTCCACTCAATAGATCTCACTCTGTTAATGGAGGTAAGCAATCCCCTCTTTACCTCTGTCATTTCTTTAGGTAAAGAACAGTAAGGTGCTAATCAAAATGTGTTCAAGTTTGTGTTTTAGGACAGTGTCTTTGAGGACACTTTCTCTTGTTCTTACACATTTTATTAACCTGTCTGGGGGCACTTGCTAATATTAATTCAAAGGAATTAAATGTTGAAGGTGCAGTCGATCACTTACTAACTGGACATTATCTGATTACTTAGAACTGTTAATGTGCTAATTCTATTATAAATCGTTTCTAAAGATAAAGTTCCCCATATTGTCTCGATGTCACTTAATCACTATGGAGATTATACTTTCTAACTGAATAATGTCAAGTTAACAGCATGTAATTAGAGAATGCCAATGGAATACAATGTTGTGACAGCCTAATGGCTTCCTTGTGCAGCATAAATGCTAAAGCTGAGCATCAGTGTTTATAAAATAAACATGTCTGCTCTGTCTTAATGTTTCCTGAAAACCTTGAGATTGTTCTCCTGGTGAGTGTTCTGCTATTGTGACTGTATTTTTAATATGCAAAGTGATTAAAAATTTAAAACAAACTCAGTCAGATATGAACGGCTGACTGTGAAGCAGCTGATTGAGTGCAGTTGTCATAACAGAACAGATGCTGTGGACTTCTGCTGCAAATCATCCTGAGCTTTTAAAAAATTTACATCTCTAATAGATTAATTTTAGGTTAAATGACTGATTATACTTTTGTATTAGAGTTTCCTGGCAAATCTTAAATTGCTAGATTTAGAGTTTAAATTCAAGAAGGAATAGGAAAAATATTACTGGAAACTGCATAAAATAGACTTTTGCTTTGATCTGGATTGGTGTTGTCATGAATGTGGCCTAGAAAGCAGCTTCAATTCACAGGAAGTCCTTTCTGCTTCTTATGATGTGTAATCCCTGTCCTCAGTTGTATTGGCAAAATATGTACAAATGCCCCTGTATTTGTGTGAGAGAGAATTTCTGTATGTGAGAGAGTAGAAATGAATGTAGTTACATTCCAGAACTTGCACAGTCAATGTTTTTCCCACATGAACTGACCCATTTGTGTGAGTCAGTTAGAATATACATGAAATATGGATATTTTAATAGCTGAATATCTCTATGTAGGGTAGTACAATTGTAAATTCAGTTTTTTCATGCTGTTAGCCATATTTAAGCATGTACAAATTGTCGATGCTTTCCCAAATAATGAGATAAATTAAGGCAGTGACAGCAGCAATTCTGATTTTGTCAGCGTTATTTTCTCATTTTGCTACCGTGAAGTTTCAGTCTCTGTTTTCTTCTGAATGTGTAGCACTGCACTGTTGTGCCACCTGATAAAAAGTGTGCCTGTGCACACAAGGTAAACATCACAAATACAGGTACAGGCACAAGAGACATGTTAAACCTTGTAGCAATCTGTTAGTTTAGGTGATGATCTTCTCTTTTGTTCTACCATAGAATTTAAGACTTGTGACTTAAAAGCCTTTAAACAGAAGACAGTGTTTTGATTTGAGGGTCACTTAAGTGCCTTTACAGTTTTTCTTATAGTTATGTTCTCTGCTTGCCATAGACAACTCTAAGGTATTGCAAGCCACAGTGATATTACTAAAACAAATACATCTGCAGTAGTCTATGGCCATATGTAAAAAACTTTCATCTGAAGCAAAAGACAAAGCCACCTGACATCTAATTAGTGTTCCAAAAAGACGTTTTGCAATCTTTAAGCTTCAAATTCTGGGTTTTATTCATTGGTCATAGAAGTGAAGACAAATCTTTTTATCCCCTCAGCTCTTCGAAGTCCAGCCTTGGAAATTGCATCTCCACCGAATGTTGGTCTCCGGAGAAGCGGTCAGATTGAAGGGGTCCGGCAAATGCATCACAATGCTCCCCGAAGTCAAATGGCAACAGAGAGAGATCTCATGGCATGGAGCAGAAGAGTAGTAGTGAATGAGCTTCCTCCAGGCATCAGCAAGTAAGAAGCCAAATGAGATAGGAAAAGAAGATTAAATTTTACGATGTTTAGTGATTCTTCCATACACCTAGTGTAGGCTTTAAAAAATGATTTTTGAGAAATAATTTCGTTTTTGGGGGGATTTGTTTGGAAATTCAGATAGTAGGATCAGAGCGGTAGCTTCTGCTGAAGGTTTAAGAATAGTAATTCCTTCTCAATTAAGTCTTTTTTCAGTGGTTCAAAATACACATTTTTCTTTTTATTTTCAGTTTTCTGATTCTTCTGTCTTCCTGAAGCTTTGTTTAAAGACAGACAAACCCCACACTAATTGTAATACATTTCAGTTTCCTTGGAGTGAAGTTTATGTGAATGCTGTTTGGAGGGCCTGTGCTCAGATTTCTTGTGGCAAGAGACACAAAAGTATTTTAATTTATAGAGACTGTTGAATATATAGTGATACAGTGAATAAAACGGATGTTTCCTGTGTGTAATTAGGGTCCAGGAAGAATGTCGAGCTGCTAAAGGTGAAATTGAAATTGGATTATACACTGTTGAAAAGAAGAGAAAGCCATCCCATACCTTACAACGGGTGAGTTAATTCACCAGAAGTGAGAACCTGGGTATCAAACAGCTCTGAGAACTCAGCTGAAAAATAAAATGAAAGGAAATGATTTAGAAGATCAATAGTGCTAATTGTTACTTTGGTTCTCCTACTTTTCTCTGTAACTGTAACTTATCTGTTTTTATACTGTAGCGTGCAAAAAACAATGGTAAATTTTTGCCCATGAGGCTTCAGTTGTAGGATGATTCTGGGAAAGCAAAAGAGCAGTGTTGTGGTAAATGCTCAGCTTGACTTACAGAAATTAGGAGAAAGATTAGAGGTGCCACCTGTTAAGTTACCAACTTTTGTCTTATCCAGGGGCTACAGGTATTGTTTTAGAAAAACTATATTTCATCATAGAAGTCATTCTTAGAACGAAAGATACTTTAAAAAGTAGTATTGATATTAAACAAACAAAAACCATCCAACTAAAAAAAATACCCAAACCAACATACACTGAAATGAGCAACCACGAGTCTATAAAAGATGTCTTTTCAATTCTAATTCTAGGTTTTCTGGTTGGCATTTGTAGATGGGATAGAACTTATAGTCACTTTAAAAAGACATCTTTTAACTCCATAATTCATTATTAAATATGTACTTGTTTTCTTTTTCTCTCTCCTCTCATGTGATAAAAGAATGATTACCAGTCAGGAAGTGGAAGATCTTTGAGAAGGAACCAGCGCAAACGCCAGCATGCATACCAGACCCGCTCCACAATAGAGCACAGTCAGCAAGGAGCAAATCAAAACTCACGTGCACAGGAAGAGTCGGACAGCTCCTCAGAGGTCTGATATGTCAATGATTCCTCCAAATGTTCCTGGTTCACAGATATCTGTTTTGGCAACAGATGTACTGAGAACACTGTCACTGCGAGGGCTCAAAAATTTCTCCACTTAAAAAATAACACTCAAACTGTTGAATCCTCTGGATTTGTGGTGTCACTGTAGCATGTTAATCTTAGAGAGAGGAGGATCATTTACCTCCGTGCTAGTATGATATTCAAAACTCAAAACTTGCTTAAAACAGGTTGTGTATTTTTGGAAATCTGAAATATTTTCAAGTAATTTTAACTGGATTGGGTTAAACCACTTACAGTTTTGGACATTCACATACTGCACATATATTCTAGGTCAGATTCAGTACTTTTAATTTCATCTGCATCTGTAGACTGTTGTTGAAAGAGATGTTGGTATTAATCATTGATATGACAATAGAAGAACTTAAAATATACCAGATTAAATATAACTTTTTCTCAGTAGAGAGACATGCAGAGTAAAAAAGAGACTGAGAATTGTGAATCCACTGAATAACAACAAAGCTTTCCTCAGGTGAAACAGACCACGTAACTTGTAAATAAAAATGGTACATGTAAAACTTTGGCTCAAAGCGAAACCTTTTGTTTTTAATACAGGAAGATGAGACAGTTGGCACAAGTGATGCATCTGTGGATGATCCTGTGGCAACATGGCAAAGTGACAGCAGCTCCAGGTACATTTATTAGCCTCTTTATTATATTAAGTAATTTGAGTAAGATAAGTAAGACATTTGTTTTGATATTATGAAACTATGATTGCAAGTTCAGGAAGAACTTGTAAAGATACTGGTTTGTTGATATCCTATGACAGATTGAAGTGAACTGTCGTAGACTAAAGTAGTTTAAAATGTTAACAACAAAAAATTCCAGAGTCTTATCAAGTAAATGCTTGAGTATATTTGAGTGATTTTAATATGATGAGAAAGCTTTTGCAGAGTGCCTCCTTTCCTAATCCCACTTAAAGCATTTCCTTTTTATTTTTGGAATTGAAGAACAATTTTGAAAGAATTGCTGCTATGAAAATCCCCATTTAAACTAATAACTTATTGAAAAATTGATGCCATGTAGTAGTATCTAGTAGAAATATTGATAGAAATGCATGCATATCTTCTGTTCGTGTTTCAGTTAATTTTTTCATTGTCAATATGTCTTGGTGTATGAGTTCCACAGTCTGTTTTCTTAATGCTGTGCTTTTATGACTGAAAGGGACGTGAGTTAATACAGATACTGTGAGTCTTATTTGGGTATTAAAATTGGAAATATATTTTTAAGAATGCTCTGATTATCTGATTATTTTCATGCAATTAAATCAGTTCTTAAAAAGTCAGTCTATGAATCAATGAGCTAATTAGTATGAAAATAAGTAGCAAACAGAATTCCTAGATTTACCAGGAATTTTCAGTTGTTAAAATAATTTGCTAAGATATCACGTAACTATTCTTTAAGAAAATGGAAATGTGCCCTAATCCTGACATCTGTTTCACATAACCAGAAAAACAGGTTGAAGGATTGGACCTTTCATTCCATTGTGTGAAAACTGAAGTGCTGTTTTTTTCTTACAATTTTATATTATCTACAGTGATTCATCAAGTGAATATTCTGACTGGACAGCAGATGCTGGAATTAATCTCCAGCCTCCAAAGAGACAAACGAGGCAGGCAGCTCGGAAAATCTGTAGTAGTTCTGAAGATGAAAATTTGAAGGGAACAAAAGGAGTGGAGCAAAAACGAAGGAAACTAAAGCAACCTAGAAAAAAGGTTGGCATTTTTAATTTATGAAGGCCTTTTTGACTTCATAAATACACATGTATTTTTTAACTGTTTGTGTTTTTTTCCTAATAATTGTTAAAGAAGACCAACAGTGTATTTTTAAAGAAACCTAGTCCATCTGTGAACATCTTAATCTTCTGTTTTATTGATAATGAACATTTCTTACCACCCATGGGTTAGTTGAGATTTTTGGAAGGTTCCAGCATTTGCTTTGCCCTTATATATAGTTATCTTTAGATCATGCTTTATAATCTATTATTGTATACTCTGCCACAGTAATTGCAGCTTGTGCTTTAAATTTAATATATTTAAGAAACCAAGTGGACTGCTTTCAATGGAAGGGGAGCCCAGTGAGGAGTGGCTGGCCCCGCAGTGGATCTTGGATACCATACCCCGCCGCTCACCTTTTGTCCCTCAAATGGGAGATGAGGTAATTCCAACTGTAGCCATCTTTAAATTCCTGTCTAGGCTGATGAACTTTTGTTTGGTTGGCACTATTAAATCTAGCTTTCAGTGACTCATGGTCAAGATAGCTGACTTAGGGAACCAGATGTTTACAGATAACTGTCGTATGTCCCCTTATACGCGCATGCAATTTCTGAATAGAAAGAAGAATTGTTTGTGCATTTTCAAACAAACCTCTGTGCTTTGTAATGATCTCAGTTTTGAACAGGAATAAAACAATCAGTAAAATAAAATAAACTTTTTTTTTTAAATTCTCATTTAAGATCATATACTTCAGGCAAGGCCATGAAGCTTACGTGCGGGCAGTAAGGAAAGCAAAAATTTACAGTATTAACATGCAAAAACAACCATGGAACAAAATGGAACTCAGGGTAAGTTTAATAGGTACTTCAAAGTGCTGAATGCCTCTATAGTGTTAACTTGGCATTATGAGCCAAAATGAAAGAGTGTTGGACTAGATGATTGCCAGAGGTCCCTTTTGCATTTTTTTTTCTCCTTCTTAACTCTCATTCAAGCAATATCCACCCCACAAAAGATGCTTATAGTTCTATCAGTGCTCTGCAATGACCTGAACATATAGGTGGTATCATTGTTTTAAATGTGATTGCAACAAGTAAGTAAAGAACTTAATGCATGCATAGGCTTCCTTGAACAAGATGTAGTTAAACATAATTGTGTATGGTAATTCTTGGAAGAGCTCGACATTATATTGCAACATGTTTTAACAGAATAAAAGTATTATAGATTGTTTGGCCAGATTTTATACTTCCATAGTTCTTCTATTTTTTCTTAACCATTTTACTTTGAGTTACTGAGTCCAGTGACACCAAATGCTCAGTATTTTCACATTGTGTTTTGCTTTATTTAGATTTCAATATCAAGCAAAGAGCATATATAAGTGCTAATATTCATATACATATGAAAAGAATTGCTTTACTGGAAATATATCCTGATATTAGTGCTAGGTACTAAGTGATTTCCACCTGTAATCTTCAAAGACATCACTAGGATACCTTTCAAAGAATAAGGAAATGCTATTTCACTTAGGATACACATCTAACACCTGCTCATGGTTGATAAGATGTGATTGTACAGTGCTAATATTGAATTTCCACTTCAGAAGGAAGAGTTTCGTTTTTCTTCCCCTGTATGTTGCTATACAAGGGTGAGAGGCCTTGGCTTTAGTCAGGAATAACCCTTGGTGCCATCAGTGTGGTTGAAACAGAAAGTGGTGTGCCTTAAAGTCTTCTCATAAAAATTAAATAAGTTGTGGGCATCTTGCTCAGTGCCTCGGTGTATTTGTTGAACATCTTTTATTTTTAGTTTTCCTTTTAAGGATGCTGTGATTAATTTTTAGTTTTAGTAAAGAAAACTTCTATGGGTGAAATTACCTGGGCTGCAAAGTGGAAACATTTATTTGTTGTTTATAGATCTAGTACTTTAATGTGGATGTTTCTATTGTAAACATATTAAAATAATATTGTTCTGTGCATGTTGATTAATAGGAACAAGAATTTGTGAAGACTGTAGGAATTAAATATGAAGTTGGGCCCCCTACACTTTGCTGCTTGAAGCTTGCATTCCTAGATCCAATCACAGGCAAAATGACAGGAGAATCATTTTCCATTAAGTGAGTAACTGAAATTCTGATGGTGTTCTTTAAGAAATTTTATTGAGGTGTAGAAGCTTCCCCCATTTTTTTTTTTTCTTCTCTTTCAAGACATGATGGCATGAATTCATTATGCCAAACGTGAGAAGAAAATGCATGAATTTTTTTGTTTGGAGACTGTATTGTACGTATGGTACAATGCTTGTGGCTAACAGAAGAATTTTTCTATTTCACGAAGGTATCATGATATGCCAGATGTTATTGACTTCCTTGTGCTGCATCAGTTTTATAATGAAGCCAAAGAGAGGAACTGGCAAATAGGTAACAACTTCCATATGCTTTGCTGAGTTTCTTTGCTTGCTCAATAGGCTAAAATTTGGTGGTTGTGTTCTTTTGAATTTCTGTGAATATCATATATTTCAGACATTGAAATGGAAGAAGTGCTCACATCACAGCAAATTCTAATGTTTAGGTATACAAATTCTTTTTCAAACAGTGTTTATCCTAATGTAAAATAATTTTAATGTATACTCTATTAGTAGCTTTACTTTGTGGTGAAGATTCTAGAAGATTCTAAGTTTTATTTTGTAATTAATTTACAAATCTTTTTTTGTAACTCTCTGATATTCCTATAGCACTCCCACAGCCTGACTTCTTAGAACAAGGCTTGTGATTTGTGGGGAAGTGTTTGTAAGATGATGTGCAGCATCTTTATAACACAGTGAAAAAAGGCCATGTCACACTTGTTTCCAATGATCACTATAGTATCATTATTTGATGTTTATTACAATTCCTGTAACAGAAAAGAGAAATGATAAACTGCAAAAATCCTTTTCCTTATAGGGGATAGATTTCGCAGTATAATAGATGATGCTTGGTGGTTTGGAACTGTGGAGAGTCAGCAGCCTTTTCAGGCAGAATACCCTGATAGCTCCTTTCAGTGCTACTCTGTTCAGTAAGTACTTACATAGGTGCCATGGTTGATATGCTCAGTGTATACTTCAGGAACATGGATCCTTTTTTGCCATTTAAATACATAGTAAGCTGCTTTGTTTTCATGTATTTAATGATGATCTTATTCCTAAAGCAACTCTTCTAGCATAAATAGCATTACTGTGAATGCATGGGAGGAAAAATATTTGTTGTTATATTAAGCCAGATGAAAAATTAAATTTATTAATTTATGTATTTAATGTACATTACAATTATGCTTTAATTTATGTATTTGAATGTATTTTATTTTTGTTTTTAAAAGCTGGGACAATAATGAAAGAGAGAAAATGAGTCCATGGGACATGGAGCCAATTCCAGAAGGAAGTAAGTGTGTTTTGAATTCACATTCATATGTAAAGAAAATAGTTTTGTGTCATTGCCAGTGCTTACTGTTGTTGAATTCTTCATATTTAGCTGCTTATCCAGAGGAGGTTGGTGCTGGAGTTCCTGTGACTCCAGATGAGCTGACAGCTCTTCTCTACAAACCCCAGGAAGGAGAATGGGGGGCCCATTCCAGAGATGAAGAATGTGAACGAGTAATTCGGGGGATTGAGCAACTTCTTTCTCTTGGTATGTTTGGAGAGGAAAAGGTGGAAGTTTTAAGGACGTCAGCGTGGCTGCACATGACTGAATGGTAGATAAGGTGGAGTGCTGGGAATTGGCATGAAGTATTTCAGATGTTTTCAGCTAAGTAATTGAAAAGAGTCTGTTAAATGTCATGTGGTGGCCATGTATTATTTTTGCTAAATTCTTAGAAAGGAAACACAGAAACTATTATAAGGCATCTATACTTTCCTGCTTGTATTGTCTGAGGCATCTGAATTACTTTGACCTTTTGTCTTTCAGACATTTCTAATCCCTTTGCTGTTCCAGTGGACCTTAGTGCCTATCCCATGTATTGCACTGTAGTTGCTTATCCAACTGACCTCACCACAATCAGGAGGAGACTTGAAAACAGGTTTTATAGGTCAGTTTGTTTTCTACTTGTTTGTAATCTACATTTTCTGTGGACTATTTGAGCAAAATATGTTTAGGTAAATAACATGCAATGCTATTTAGGCAATGTTTGGTAAACTGAAAGCTTAAAATGAGATTCTATTTGACTTTGTAGAAAGTAAGTCTTTACTATATGATCATTTCTTTTGGCCTTGCTGTTAAGGCAAAAACTGATATGTCTGGATCTGGAGTGTCCTTTTTGTTACACATTCAGAGTCCCTGGATGCATTGTAGGTAGACTATATTTGATCTGTACTTTTGCTGCCTTTGAACCAGATACTTTTCTAGTGCTGTGGTTGCTAGAATTGGGCTAAATAGTGCTTTAAACTGAAAGTCTTAGTTTTTCCAGTTAACATGGTTATAGCTAATATCTTTTTCTATAATACTCTTTTCCCTGGGGGACCACTTTATCTGCAAGGTTTTCTCTAACTGGGAGGGGACAGCAATCTTCTTCAGTAGGTTTGTCTCCTCTTTTCCTTCCATTCATTGCTGATTTGAAGAGAGGTATCTTTCCTCCAAAGTCACCTCAACTTGCTCACTTAATGGGGCAGTAAGCAGTGTCTGAACAGAAACCACTTTCCTCTGTCTCTGACAACCTGTTTCTTATGTACTTGAATTACTCATTTTTTTTCTTATTATTATTATTTTTAACTCAGTAAATCTACTGAAATCAGAAGGTGAATGGTGTAACCCTTCTGTTCCATCCTTTTCATTTTTGTTGTTTTTGTTAGGAGAATCTCTGCACTGATGTGGGAGGTACGATACATTGAACACAATGCCAGGACTTTCAATGAGCCAGACAGTCCTATAGTCAAAGCAGCCAAAATCGTAACAGATGTGTTACTTCGTTTCATTGGGTAGGCATTTTTTTTTTTTTTTTTGCCATCTTCATAGACCTGATGTCTTGAGTTTCTAAGAAATTCACTTATGTATTTTGACTTTTCTTATTGCTCTACAGGGATCAGAGTTGTACGGATATATTAGATATATATAATAAGGTGAAAGCAGAAGACCTGAGCAGTACTGATGAAGAGGAAGAGGTAAGACCATGAAGTATGATTGTAAGAACTTACATTTTTTAAGTTCAATATGTGAAAAAAGTTGCAGAATTCAATGTAAGGCACTACATGAAGTCAGAATAAACTCAGTACAGCTGCTCATGGCATGAATGTTTAGGCAGAGATATATAGCTCAGCAAGGCTGAGCCTTAGCTGAATTCTCAAGGACTGAAAACAAGCCACTAATATTTCTCAGATACTTACATGTAATTTCAATGGAAGCAAATTTGGGATGGAAAAGAGATGCAGTGGCTTTTCTACATTTTTTGCTACATTCTACCCTGAAGTTACATAACTTCTGATTTAAAAATGGTTTCTGTTTTGCTCAAAACTGTCTTTTCATTTGAGTAGTTTATAATTGTATTAGCAACTATTTAGTTGTAATCCTGCTTGTTTCCATTGCTCTCTGTGCACACAAGCTTTCATGTGTGTAATCATCACCTTTTCCTTTAGGTGGCAGAAGTAGATGTAGATTCAGATGCTCCAGGAACTTCCTCTGGAAAACGACGAGTGAGTAAATCTTTCTCGTTGATTTAGTTTACAAAGACAGGTAGAACAGGTACTAAAATAGTCATTTAGTTCTGAAATAGTTTAAATCTTTCATCAGCCTATATTCTGCAGTTCAGTGTGAATTCAGTTGTATGTATGTCAGTGCTGCCAGACTAAGAATGTTGTTGCCCAGGAAAATTTAATTGCTGAAGAGTCTTGTTTGTTTGATCTGAAGGATATCTAGAACAAGTTCAGTTTGCAATCAGAATTGAGGGGAAAGTAACAATAGCAGCCTTGAATCTGAAATATTATATACTTTGTATGGATTTGAGTAATTATCTATTGCCAGAAAAAGCATATTTCTGCATTTTGCTTACTGCTTATTGTTGTGCCATTAGCTATGATTTAACTTCTTACAGTTCTGCTTTTAATTATGGAAATCTATTTCAAATCAGAACACTAGTGAATTAATAGGAGCTTAAAGTGGGAATTCTGAATATTTTGAAAGATGATTAAATATCTCTGTTTCCCAGCAGGTAAGACGACGAATAAAAAGACAGCCTGTGAAAGGAAGTCCTGATGCTTGGAAAGAGCAATGCAAGCAGTTGTTAAACCTGATTTATGAAAGAGAGGACTCTGAGCCTTTCAGACAGCCAGTTGACCTCTTCTCCTATCCTGTAAGTACAACTTCTATACTCAAAGTTTTAACAAGCTGGTGTTCATCCTTTGGCAAAGTTCCATATTGAATATGTTTCTAATCTTTCCTTTTATTAGCTAGAATTGATCATGTTCAGTGCACCAGTGTTTTCAGAGAATTATCTGCAGTAACTCTCAAATCTCTGTCCTAAGTGAAAATAATTACATAACAGCTATTGTTGTGGGTGATAATTTAGATGTTTTCAAATGTCTGCTATGGACATTATTATTAGCAGCTTTTATTAATTCTTGAATGTTCTTGTAGGATTACCGAGATATTGTTGACACTCCTATGGACTTCAGCACTGTGAAAGAAACCTTGGAAGCAGAGAATTACACCAGTCCCTTGGAATTCTACAAAGATATTCGTTTAATATTCTGCAACTCTAAAGCTTACACTCCTAATAAAAAGTCTCGAGTAAGTATAAATTTAAATTTCTTCTTTATAAAGACCTGGACCTTGCATGAATACAATACGTGAAGGATGAAAGGTGGGTTGGGGTAAGCTCTGAAGATAAAGACTAGTAATTTTTGCTTGCTTGAGTACAGAGAATATTAGTGGAGAGTCGCAAGAGTCGCAACAAGACAGGTGATTTGAGGGTGTTTTATATGTGCTTGACGTCAGATTAAGCTTGGTGGAGCATTATTTACTGCTGTGCACCCCCTGGGAAACTTCCCTGTGTATTTATAACTGAACAGCTTGTGAGTCAACTCCCAAATTACTTTAATAAAGTGGTCCATCAATATCCATTTGCTTAAATGCTGTGAAGTGCCTCAGTGGGATGATTGCTGTGGGAGGGCTAGGGCACACAGCTGGGCCTTCTGCCACTGTAGGTTCATCTGCTACCAAATGTGTGTCAACATCCTGAGGTTTTCTAGTCTGTTTTACTGTCTTGGCAACAGCATCCCAAGTGAAGGCAAGAAGGGCAGGACAGTACATGCCAGAGCTAAGGAGACATTGCTGCAATGTAAGAGCCAGGGGACAGGAATTAAGTTGTGTGAATGGAAAGAAAACTCCTTGTCAAAGAAGTTTGGTATTCAGAAAGACTGCAAGAAATGGGAAGAGGTATAAGATATTGATACTGTTGTCTTGATGGTATTTATGTGACATCCATAAGAGTGTATGCAATAGAGGAGTATAGACATGAGAAAGAAAATAAATTTTGTTTTTGTATATGCTGAGTTTGAACTATGAGTTTACACAATTATAAGTGAAAAACATTCTAAGTAAAATTTTGAACAGAAGTAAATAGTCTGAAATACAGAGAGAGAGAGAGATGAGTGACTTTAAGAATGAGGAAAGTCAGAGGTGTGGTCTAGAAAGAAGACAGGGAAATAGCTTAAAGATTTTGATACCTGACTTATAAAAATTAGGAGCGAAGACGCTTCAGGTAGCTTTTCTCTGCAGCTCTAAAGGGATGAATCTAAGGACTCTTCACGAGGGAATTATAGCCAAAAGCTTAGATGAGGGGACATCAAAGTTGCTGTTGTTTTTTTTTCTCCCCTTGGTACTTCAAGTTATTTTATGGATTGCTTCCATGCTTTGTGGTGATTAAGAACAGAGCATAAACACTTTCTGTCATAAGAATAAGCTTATCTCATGAATGGAAATTATCTGTAAAGAACTTTGTAGCTGAAGTCTCGATGAACTTTCCTTTTGCACTGAGACGCTGATGTCTAGGTAGTTTTTTATACTTTTTTGCTGATCTTCTTTTTGGTGAAGTTCTGATAAGTATGGCCATGCTTTCTCACCCCAGATCTACAGCATGACACTTCGACTATCTGCCTTATTTGAAAATCATATGAAGAATATCATCTCTGAGTACAAGTCAGCAATGCAATGCCAGAAGAGGAAAAGGCCCCGGTACCGAAAACGACTAAGAAGCAGCAGCAGTTCACCGTCAACTAGCAGAGCCTCTAGGTAACATATACTAGTAACATGTGCTATTAGTATCATTTGAGACACATCATAACAGTAGTAGACAAACCTTTGTAAATAGGCAGCCAGTAATGGTATTGCTTGTTTCTTGATACAGTTGTTCTTTTGGATGATAAAATCATGAGCACAAATCCCGTGCTCACTTCATGTTTGTGCCTAATTCTGTTAAGTGTAAGTCTATGGAATTAGAAGTAATCTGGATAAAATGGAAAACCAGATTTATTTTTGCTGTTGTTTCATAAAGGTTAAAAAAAAATACTGTGTTAGCACTTCATTGACTTCTGTATGATACGTTATCTATGAAAACTGAGTATTCCAGTTTCAAAAGGTGAGATGAAAAAAAAAGAACCCTCACATGCCTTGCACTTAAAAGCTCAAATGCCTTTGCCAAACAGGATATTGTAACTAAGTTTAGTGTTACTACATCTTTGCAGGCACCAAGGGGGAAAAGATCATTAGAGTTATGACTTTTATGCAGAAAAAAAAAAAAAAACCAAAAAAAAACCAAGACATCTTGCAGGGGAAGTCGTCATCTTTGATTCCTTTGGTATAAACAGTTTTATATCTTTGGGGTGTTTTGTGTCTTCAGTCCAAAAGGGAAACAGAAGCAAATGAAGATTCAACCTAAAACCAACCTGAATACCTCATTGCCTTTGACTAGGACCAGCTCTTCAGTTTCATCTCATGGTGAGAAGTTTTCTAATATGCATCCTTTCTTCTGTAGCAGCTTGTCTGCATAATGATGGAAAAGCTGAAGGATATTTAATATTCAGTTGAAATATTATATTCATGAGACACATGCAAAACTTACCTGTTGAACAAGCAAGTAGCAAAGTCATGTAAATACGTGGTCTGTAGATCACGTTAACAGATGACCCTCTGTTTGTTGGTAAGTTATTGGTAAGGTTCAGAGAATAAGGTAACTTGGCCTGTCCTTGCTAAGAATTAGTAGAGCGTGGACTTCTGTACATAGGCTTCCTTCATACAGCAACTACTAATATATTAAGTTACTTTGGGTTACGCTGTGGAAGAATCCATGTCTCCTTGACTGGAGAGGCAGCTTGGTGAGTCTAACCTCCTGACTTTTAGGCCACTGACTAACTTCAGAATTTCCCAAAAATACACATGCATTTCAGATGTATAAATAGAGGATGAAAGATACTGTATTGAGCTAGTGGTATCCTATTTTAAGTTTCAGATACAACAGAGGAACCTCTGGGTTCAGCCACTGGTGAAGATGTGGAAGTCCAGCCATCTTCCTCAGGCTCAAATGCACAGAATCGAAGTGGAAATACCATTGATCCAGGGAAAATTAAACCAATCAGAAGTAAACTGACACCAGTGAAACAAGGTGGGACATAACTTTTCTATTCTTTCCGTGACTGATTTCACTAGAAATGGAAGCTTGTGCATTGATCTTATGGTATTCTTGTCTGGGTCTAATATACTGTAGCCCCAACCCATATTCAAACTAATTTAGCTTATTATTTACAGTTCTTGTTGTCTGAACGGTGGCATGCACATAATGCTACATTTAATTCAGTGGAGTCCTTTAAAATTTCTCATGATGGAAAAACTTGATTGCTCTTAAAAGTCTTGAAGTACAGTTTCTTCAAGAGTGACAAAAAGGCAAAAAAAGCTGAAAGAATCTTTACCCCAAAACCTTATCCTTTTAGTAATCAAGATGAAACCAAAGATAAATAAAATAATTCCATTTTTTAAAATATATTTTTTATTATATTTGAAATAAGGTGTTATAATTGAAAGTGAAACAGTTTGAATCCTTCAGTATTTTGTTTTTGGGGCACATCAGTCAGAACTTTCACTGAGGTAGGCATTGAATGAGCGTTGGTTGAAATTTCTCAAGTCTTTCTCAAGTCCATGCTACTGTGCTATAGTAGTACTGTGTATGGCAGATGAGCTTTCTGAATCCAGTGTGAAAGAAGATATTTACAAACCTGACAATGAAGAGTAACCTTAAAAACAAATTTGGTCCCAAGACAGCAAAGCGCTTTGCTATGTTTTTAATTCAAGGCATTCAGAAATCCCAGTGAGCAATTTGGGGTTGTTTACTGTCCTGAAACTATTTGCCACAAATGCTCCCTAAACTAAGCCTTTTGACAACTTGTGTTTGATAGGAAATGAGCACTACTTGCAGGCTGTTGTTTTAATGTATATTTTGGGAGTTTTAAATAGATTTTGGTGGGTTTTTTTTCTTGACACTGTTGGTAGGATTTGTCTAAGTGTTATTAGACATTCGTGTCCAAGCATGTCACTATGTTCTCCTTTTACTGAGTGGATTTGTATTGGACTCTTAGTCAAGAGAGTCTACAGTCTTTACTTCAGTGTGTGGTGAACTGTATTTACTTCTGATCTGATAAATTTTCCTCTTAGAACACCAGTTTGCATACACAAAACATAAAGGTCATCTCTGGTGGCTAGCTCAGAGTTGGATCATCTCCAGAGCATGCCACAAAGACATACGAGGTGAATCCCAGTTTCTGTGGCCCAGTTTAGCTCAGACATGATTATGATGATAACTGGATAATTTTGTGTTTGCTTAGATCACTCTCCTGATGGACCACTTACAAATGGTGATGGCAGAGAACCTCGGACAGGAGTGAAGAGGAAGCTAATAAGTGCATCAGAAGATGAGCATCTAGAGGAGGGAGAGGCAGAGGAAGAAGAAGAGAAAAGAGAAATAAAGGAGAAATCTGGTTTGTCTTCATCAGAAAGTGGGGAATCAGGATCTAGTTCAAGTTCTGAAAGTAGAAGTGGTTCTGATTCAGACTCTGAATCAACATCTAGAACAGATCAGGATTACATTGATGGAGACCACGACTACAGCAAAGTTGTGCAATCCAAAAAACCCAAAAGAAAAATCAAAAGAAAATTCACCAGTGGGAAAAGGACCTGGCAGAGCAGAGGGACAGGGAGGAGAGGTAGATGGGGAAGGTGGGGGAGATGGAGCAGAGGGGGAAGAGGCGGTAGAGGTGGAAGAGGCTGTGGCAGAGGAAGAAGAGGTGGTGGCAGGGGTGGAAGAAGAGGCCGAGGAGGCAGAGGAGCCTCACGAGGAGCCACCAGAGCAAAACGTGCCCGAATTACAGATGATGAATTTGAAACTCTGTTTGGAGGACAATTCGGTGAAAATGTGTTTGGAGGCCGATTCAGTAGAGCACCTCGAATCAGAACGAGGAATGAGGGTAGAAGAACCGTCCTGTATAACGACGATTCTGATAATGACAATTTTGTGCACACCGAGGATCCTTTGAACCTTGGTACTTCCAGGTCAGGCAGGGTGCGGAAAATGACAGAAAAAGCCAGGGTCAGCCATCTCATGGGATGGAATTATTGACAGATGAAAAACTTTGGAACAATTTTTAAAAGAACTTCAATGGCCTTCTACTGCAGGGATTTTACCAGAAAATCTACCAAGCAAGTTGTGCGGGGACTCCACTCACGTTTCACAGTGGTGCTTTTCCATTATGTCAGTTTGCGTTTGTTTTAAAACTTTAGATCTCCACACTTCATTGGTCAAAGCAAGCCTTATTCATTAGGCCTTAAATTACAGAAATTCTTCCCCACACACTACGAGTTCATCGCATTAAAGAGGCTTCCAGCTTCTCAATAAGAACGTGACATTTTGAATCATGGTTATGACTTCTCTCCCTTGTTTTGTTTTTGTATTATAGAAATAGCACCTTCTTACAGAGTTTTTATGTGGTTTTTGCCATAAATCCTTATACACAGTAATAATTATAACTTTTGCACAATACACCAATCCTAAAGGCAGCTATAAAATGTTTACAGTTTCTATATTGTAAGAAGGATCTGGATTGTTTTAATCTTCCCAGGCCAAACAGTCATGAATTGTGCTGAACTGAAGTATGTCTATACTACAGTTATGAGGGTCCTGATGTGCTTTCTATCGGTTCTTTATTCGTGTAAAAAGTGACAAAGGGTTGGTGCCTTGTAAATATGTAGCAAACCTTTGATGTGGTGTGTCCTATGTGTGCATTAACTTTATTAAAAAGAGAATACTTGAGAAGTATGAATATCTAGACAAAAGGTGCCAAATGCAAAAGTTACTTGCATCTATTTTCTTTTTGTCCTCTCATATTTTTATAGTATTAATAGAGATTGTGCAGCTAAGTGGTAACTTCAACATTTGAAAGGTTCCTCCTCTTCGAAGCATAACATGATTTTTAATAGTAGCTTGGCTACCTCTATTCACAACTACTGGAAATTTAAAAGAAAATAGATGCTATTATTCAGTACGTGTTGAAGAAGTACTGGCAAGAAGGAGCTGTAGAAGGATGGAATTGTTCACCGAGTTGTGTAGTAAAGATATCTTTATTGACACAATGAAAACAAATCTAAGTAATTATCAGAGGTTTCAGAAGCCTAACGTTTTCAGCAGATGGCAATTTGTTTGTGCAGATAGCCCAACTGTTTCCCATACAATTCTGCTGCCACTTACTCAGTGCAAATCTGTGTTTGTTTTAGTTTGTCCCTTGAAGCTGCTGGGGAAGCAGAATGGAGCTCTGGTGGCTGGCAGTACTGGGAAGTTGCTGTTCCATCCTCCACACGAACTCTGGTATCTCAAGCTTCCAGAAGCAAATTCATGTTGCACTGTATTGTTGTGACACTGCAGAATGCTAACTTGAAGTCAGAATCATTTTGGTGGTAGTAGTAGTAGTACAGTGTGTGATGATACGAGGGAAACGTAGAGGCTTTTCTGTGGGTGCAGACCCAGCAGCCAGGAGCAGGCGCTTTGTGTGGGCTGAGCTAGTGGTGGCAGCCTCTTTGCTCAGCAGGGTCTGCTGGAATGCATGTGGAACTTCGGTTTCTCCTGTTGTCTAAAAGAATCTGACAGTTCCAGCTCGGTTGGGTGAGTTAGATTGCACTGAGAGAAGAAAAGGAAAGAAAGAGATTGTACGTTTTTGGTGGAGTTTTTCAATATTCTTTTTAAAAACAAAACAAAACAAACAAAAATTTTCATCCAATATCCGTAAGTTCTTCTGTGCACGGCTTGGTCAATGATTCTGGAAAACCTCAGGCAGCAAAGAGTGACCCATGTATATTCTCAGATGCAGAAAGAATATAGTTTTTGCCTTTCTATATTGAACACTGTCTATTTTATCTCGCTTTCCAGAACCTCTAGTTAGAAACAAAATGACTTGAAAAAAAGCAAAGGTTTAGTTTTGTGATGGAGGAAAGTATATCCTAAATTGCTCAGAGCATTAGTATGACTTAATGGTTCAGCAGAAAAATCTACTTTATCAACTGTTTTGAATCAGCCATAATCTGTTTCTGAACTTAATTCAGTTCTGTCTTGGTGGAAATACAGTGCAGACACTGCTAGTTCTGTACTGGGCTTTAAAATATAAATACCTGTCCTATCATCTCTCTCTCATTTTATATATATATGCATATATATATATGCTTATATATTTATAAAAAAAAAAAAAAAAGTATTATTTCTTTGACTGATGGCTCCTCCTACATATGGTAACCAGGAATAGCACGTATGCATCAGCTCATAGTCAGAGCCGTACCTCTTTTAGATCAGTCCTGTTGAGCTAATGTAAACACTATGGGTTCTGTTCTAAAGCCTGAAAATCTTGAAATGCAGAAGAAATGCTTTCCATATATTTCTGACTGGCCGAAGATCCACTTACATATTTATTTTGTGTAGGGGTTGGGGGGGGAGATAAATACGTGGATTCCAGATAAATCATTTTATAATTTGTGTATTTTAGCAACAGTTAGGATAATATTAAACATATTCTCAAATGTATCTTTTCTATGTAATGAAGTACTGTGAAGATAACAGTGAAGCATCACTTTGCTGTGGCGTAAGTATTAATCATATGTGTTACATGGTTAAGAGCTAGGCAGCAGGGTGTGCTGGAACAACAGAGCTATTGCTTATTTAAAAAGAAAACAAAAAAACCTTTTTTGTGCATGAGAACTTCTTTGTAAGCATGAAAAATAACTTGGGTTTAGAGTTGTTATTTTTACTCGGTTTTGTATCTGGATTCTTTCTCTGAGTTGGGCAAATGATTTCTCATCCCTTCATTCTGTGGGATGATTTTAATGTTATGGCAAATCTCAAATCCAGATTCTGCCAGGAGCCACTTGCTGCTGCAGAAAGCCCTGTGGGTGCATCAGCAGCAGTGAGCTGGTTTAAGCCTTGTGCTGTCTACTACAAAATTGGACCTAAGAAAAAGGTTTGCAGGCCTGGTTATTAGAGATCCCTGAAGGCTAGCAAGGCATGCATGCAGGCCTGGGGCTCCTCTGCTGCTGCTGGTTAATTCTTGAGCTGCTGCTGCTGGTTAATTCTTGAGCTTCTGTGCTACAAGATGCAAGCAAGGTTTTCTCTAGCCATGAGAGGCCAGGCGTTCTTCGGCTGTGTGGCCCTTCTGAGTGCTCGGGGCGTGAGGGCACTCTGAGGTGCCCTGGGAAAGGGGCTTCTGTCCCAGGGGTCACTGCAGTGGATCCTCACTCCCAGCTTTGTGCTCTGATGGGACTGAAAATCCTATTCTTGGATTTCTTCTGGCTATGGATCTGCTCTCTGTACCACTCCCATATTTTCCTGGACTAGAACATGAATGACCAAGCTCTCTTTGCAGTTTTCTGATAGGCTGTTGCATCTCTTTAGCCTGAACTTTGCCCACTTTTGATTTTCTGTCATCTTTTGCTTTTCCACTTGTTGTGTTCCACTCCTCTTCATCTTCCTGTTATTGCCCCAGGTTATTTGTGATAGTTTTGGAATTCTGTGGTATCTCAATGAATTTTATTTCAGCTAGGCTGTTAGAATGTAAAACTTCATTCTTTTGCCTCCTGTTTGTCTGGCAGATGAACTTTCCCACCACTTCCCATGTTTTTCATATCTTCCTCTCTCTGTGTTAGCACCATTCCCCAGCTGCTGGAGGTGCCTGGGATGCATCCATCATCTCTTGTCTTTCTCAACCCTCTCATTGCCAGTTTTATTAAAAAAGAGAGGGCCCACTGTGCTTTCTTCATAGGGCTTGGAACAATCTTGGGTTATGCTTTCCAGTAATAGAAGTTTGCTGCAGAGCAGTAAGCAGAGGTCACTCCCTTGTCCCAGGCAGCTCCACCCTGCAGGTGAACCATCTGAGCAAAAGCATTTAGAAGTAATTTGTAGATGTTTTTTGATTGCCTAAATTGTTGTACCTTTTGTATATCTCAGTTTCCCCTTAACGTTCTCTGAAATGTACTCCTCAGCTGCTACTTCTGCACAAAGCATGCTGAGCCTTGGGAAGAACAGATGTTGCGTGCTAACAAAAAAATGTGTTCAATTTATAAAATATGGAAAGATAGACTAAAATATATTGCTTTTGACAGCGGCGGAGGCTCTGCTGACCTCAAAAAGCAAGATAACCTTGGCAAGCATTTGGAAATACTGCTCCCACGTGTCTGACAACTGCTCGAAATCACACACTGCTAATATAAGGAAAAAAAAGGTTGGAATATCTAATTTATGATAAAAACTGAGGGTTTCCACCTTATCTTTAACTTTGGGTGGTGAAGGTCAGGGAAAGCCAAATAGCTGTCAGTGTAGGGATGTCTTGGCAGCCCCACAGGGCATTGCTGCTCTGCGTCACGAGTTCCATGTTTTAGTGACGTGTTTGTGTGCTTACAGTTCTTGATTTACTTCTTTTAATCATCACAGCAAGTTTTATGAATTACGAATTACAGGATAGACCGAAGGAGCAGTTACCAATCCGAGGAAAAATCTCTATTAGGACCATAGGGAGCTGTCATTGTGTTCTTACAAGTATGTATTATAGAAAATTACTGCGCATGTGCGATAGATAATTTTCAAATATGGGGAGGTGTGCACCTTTGGGAAAAAAAACAAAAAACAAAAAAAAACTCCTTTCTGTACAGTAACAGCCTGCAAAACCTAACCTAAAAGTTGTCTTCTTTAGTATTAGAAACGCGAAGACCAGTTGGGAGCTTGTACATGTTTAATACCCCCCAGCAAACGTACACAACTGTGCTATGGATCCCTGAACCTTTCCAGTGGAATTGCTGTCACAGCCTTAACTCTAGTATTATACAAATGGTGCTTAAATACATTTATGTGCATGGATGTGGGTACCTGATACAAGAACTCGAAACGGAGCAGCTTAGTGCTGCGTTGGAGAGTTGCTACTCCTGGGAAATAACTGCAGCCACATTGGTGAACTTCCAGATGTGGAACTCTCTGGAAAATAAGTAACCTCGTGGACAATTAAGGGCAGTCGCTCCATTCCTGGGTTGCTTTTTGCATTGGCAGTGCTGGGCAGGATGGGACAAGGGCCGCTGCTCTGGAAAATCCCAGTGCTGCCTTTCTGCCGCTCGAAGCGCCTCCCGAGAGCGATGACTGCTCAGATGTATTCAGAAATCTAAGCCTGGTCGTTATTTTTTCCATAGAAATACCAATATAGGCTTTTCATTCCTACATGAGTTGTTATAGCAGACTTTGCTTAGAAGTACCGGTCCTTACCGTTGGCATTGAAGCAGTGACATTCACCACATTTAGGCTCTACAGTTCATGCTCTGGGTGACTTAAAATACTCCAAGAATGCACAAAGCTATTAGAATTATATACTTTCTCTGTTGATTTTTTTTTTTTTCAGGTGATATTTATGCCCATATCTTCACATCCGCTATCTCAGGTCCCTTTAAATGAATACTTCAGGGATTTTGATGCCACTTGTTGGCAGACCAAATGTAATATTTATATGCAATGAGCTGTTAGTTTTTGTATTGTACAAATGTAAATTTGTAAAGATTTTTTTCTAGAGTTTTTTTGAAGTCACTTATGTAATCTAGGATGTTTCATTTTCCAGCTGTGGGATTGACTTAATAAAAAAAAAAAAAAAAAGAGAAACTGATACTTTGGTTTTGCATTGCTTACTGAGTAGTTCAGAGTTAATTAGACAAGAACAACTCACAACTGTGAGCTTTTTGTTCTTTATTTAACTGTATCATTTTGTATTTACAAAGAAGGACGCTTGTATAAATGGGATAGATGTGGATAATTTAACCCCACGAGGGGATGGTTGACCACAGGAGGGGCTTAATGGCCTGGCAGCTGTGGGCAGGTTGGGTGCTGTGGTGCTTGGGGTGCCAGGGGCACATGCAGTGCTTTATTCCTGCTTTGTCGTGCCTCATAGGAATGGAGCTGCAGTGCGTTAATTTGTTCACTCAGCAGGAAAAATCCAGTGCTTCTGGAATATGGAGCTTTGTTATTTTCACTCTGCTGCTGAAGAGAGAAAGGCAAATGCTGCCCAAGGAGTTTTCGAAGCAAATTGCATTTCTGCTTTTGGTGGGGCTCGTTTCTGACAGATGCAGGTGCCCCACCATTTGTTATGTCACTTTGTTCCGCTCTGCCCGCACGGGGCTCCAGGACAGTATATAAAACTGTCTGCACTAGCAGGAAAATATTTTATTTCTGTATTTTTCTCAGTAAATCAGGCTGAATTCCCACAGTCTGTTTTGATTCCTGGCTGGGCCGGGAACTGCTGGGCAGGGATGGAGAGGGGCGGTGAGGTGAAGGCAGTGCCCTGGGACAGAGCTGGTGCCTGGGCCGTGCCACCCTGCTGCCGCTGCCCCTGGTGCTGTCCCTGCACCGAGCCCCGTCCTCCCCATCAATGTGGTGCTTCAGGCTCCAGGAACAGAAGGGCTTTTTCATGTCTTTGCTGCACACTGAGAACAAAATCAAATTTCTGTTTTACCTGTGCTGAAGCTACCACGACCTGTACACACCGGTACTGGCTTTGGCATTGGGGGCTCCTTCACCTCCATCAAGCCACTCCATCAAGCAGCTGAAAAGGAAGCATTGTGGAGGTGTTTTGGTTTTTTTTTTTTCCAAAAGAAGCAATTAACACTTTTTTGATAGCTGTATTATGCGGTCAAACCCCCAAATGCTGTATTTACTGCAGTTGGGAATGCATTAAGTTTATTCACTGCACCAAAATGGATTTTGTTTAAGCCGACAAACAGATGAAAGGCTCTAAAACCGTATTTTTCCTTTGTCTCAGCACTGCTGAAAAAGCGTTGGAGGAAGGTTTTGTAACAGGCACGCTGTCTATCCACCGCCGTGCCCGTGCTGCCACGTAATGCAGTCACGAAGAACCGAGGCTGATTTCCACTCTGAGTCACTGCTGGCGCTTTGCTGGGCGCCTCGCAGCGCTGCTCCAGCTGCGGGCAGGCAGGGCAGGTGCACGACGTCCTGCTTTGTGTGCACAGCAGCTGTGAGCAGGGCAGGGAGCAGCGCTGCCAGCCACAAAGCGCCCGGAGAATAATGCTAAATGACGATCAAAGCGTGTCTGATGAAGCATAAATTGCCAGGGAGAAAATGCGCTCTATGAGAAAAAGTGAAGTTTTTGAAGTTGCGGAACAGGGGCTCATTT